AAAAAAGTTCGTTAGATGATTCAAATGAACACGAGATATGGTGTGTGTCCCATTCACCTGTAGGAGACAAAGCGGTACCATATCGGCAAGCGAACCAAAAAATACCTCTGAAATTTCATCGTAGCTCATAGAATCGGGTGAATACAACAACAATATACATTGGCAAGAGGTAAACACGCTGCCAGTGCGTGATTTTGAGTTTTCACATTGTTATTACTATTATTATTATTTGAACGATGTATATAAAACAAGCACTCATCGAACAATGTATGGACGGAGTGTGGCGCATGTACACGGCATATAACAACAGCTGCTTCATGGATTCACCAATACACGAGCAACGCCATTTCTACCATTTGGGCTCAAATAGATTGGGAAAGGAAAAGAAATGCGAGAGAACATTCACCGAATGCATGATTTTACGATACCAAAGTGAAACTGTATTTGGGTTAATATCATATGCTATCCATGGATATGCCTCTATACATTTACACGATGAAGCTGCTGCTGCTGCCATGCTATAGTAATGCCGCTTTAGTTATACATATCGATATATATATTATATATATGTATATCATGTGTACATTTAATATTTCGAATGCAATTGTATTGGTAAGCATTGAATTTGGACGTGTGCATGCGTAGAATAGCAGCCATTTGAACATTGTTCATGTTTCGCGCATAACATAGATATATAGTCGATATATAACCATATTGTAATACATAAATATACCTTCCATTGGAATTGAATCACGCTCTCAAGTCGGCTGATCACTCGTTCCTCGCGTGATACACGTTTTTATTCACATAAAGCGAGATATTCGCTTTGTTGTTTTACACTTTATATTTATCTTGATGTATTTCCCTCTGTATCTCCTGAACTTTACTGCTTTTTCTCTCTCTCTCTCTCTCTCGTCAAAGCGTGTTGGAACACTTTGTTTACATTAATCACTTTCCATATTTTCACATCGTCTTCCAAATCGCTTGTCTTTTTCTTATTTTAAAAAAGAACACACGGCTTTGGTTTAATCATTTGATTTGGAATTATTGTTTGCAACAAATCATTTGAGTTACAAGACTGCTGATGACAGTATTTATTTACATTCAAAATTGCCAACCGTTTACAAAATATTTGCTCAACAGTCTTTTTTTTCAGTCGTATTGTATGAAACCTTTCGAATATTCTAGTAATTTAAATGGCAGAACATTCTATTGACATGGCAAAAAATAAACAATGAAAATTATTTCTAGTACTTTTTTTTCATTCAAATCGAACTGAATCGAATGAACTTGGGAGTAAAACCACCATCGTTTCAATTGAATAAAACGATACAATAGATATGACAATGAGTTTCGACTCTAGACATTTTGCCCATTACGAGAAAATTTGATGAACTACAACAAAGAAATCACTTTGTGGTACACACACTTTTTCACAACAAATGATATATCTGTATTTTTCCAATGAAATTTCGAAATCGAAAGGAAATGTTTCTGTTTTTCAGAAATTTATTTTATTTAGTTTTTTTTATATGATAGAAAATTGATCGGAATTTCCGTGTGAGAAAATGGTTCAAATCAACAAATCAACAGCGAATGGTGTTGTCACAACAACACTGTTGTGTTTAAACGGTACTATAGAATTTCTTTCGTTGAGAAAAGAAAACATTCATCTGTAAAATATTGAGAAGAAGAAAGGCGTGAAATGCGATTGCATCTTTGTGCCAAAGATTTTGTGCTAACATTGCATGAATTGGAATGCTGTAAGTATGCCAAATTTGACTTGTACGGACTTTGAGCTCATTTTTGTTTAAAACAAATAAAAGCTTGCAAGCAATACTCTCACGCATTTCGAGCTTAACACATGCTTCGCAAGATAAACGTAATAATTAAACAAAAATGATGACTAACTCATCACCATATTCGTGTCGTCGACTTTTTTTTTTGTTCCTCTTACATCGAATTCGGTAATTTCACGCTAATAAACCAGTTGCGAACACTCGGACTGATCGTGAACACTGTACAGTCACACAATTGCTGATCAAGTGTATACAATATATGTATATCAATAGTAGTTATTTTCCAAAAATTACCATTTTATTTGAATTCAAAATGCATCAAATATCCCATTCGCTTAGAATGATAATCAGCTGGGAAAAAAAAGTTTCCATTGATTGATATTAATACACTTGCACACACAGAACATGGAGTTCGCGTGCACCTATTATTATTATGCAAGCAATTTATCATGTAAAAAAGAGACACGGCACGCTGAAATGCAAAAACAATGCGCATTCATCGTAAACCCAATCGATGCTATTGCTAAGCCTATGACTTTTTATATAATCAATAGAATGCATTTTACAGATGCAATGGACGCGCGCTCTATTTAATATTTGCACATTTATACAGGCAGTTCTTGTCAATCAAAAAAAAGATCAGAGGGATAATAAAAACGGCGACTTACGTTGCATATTATCATTAGTGGACACATATCAACTGAATTCCATTTTTTTTCTTTTTAAATTGTTTTTGTGTGACAATTAATAGTAATACCCAGCTTTTGTTGCAGCCAACAACCAAATGAATAAATCAAAGCGCAAATAACATACATACACGCACACACACACCGACCAAAATGACCGCGTTGAAAAATCGCAACGACATGCATTCACCTTATTGGTTGTTAGCTAGTGAAACGTACAAAGCAAAACACGCATTCACCGAATGATCTTCACACACGGTTGCAAATCGGCATTTATTTTTTTTAGTTTGTTGTTCGTTTCGTCAATTCTGTTTTTGTATTTTAATACTCTCTATGAGAAAGAGATGCAATTTTTTATATTACTTTTGGTTTTGGACTTGGTTTCATTGCAATCCGCAATAATTATGATGCAAAACTTTAAAAGTTTTACAGCATCTTCTTTGAAATCAATGCCTACGATTGCAACGTTCATTTAACGCGTTTTCATTTTCAAATAAAATGCATAATGTGCACATTTTAATTGATAACCGGGTAATTCGAATTTCTGCCAATTAAACGAGTTTTCGAAGCGCGCGCGCGCTTATTCACACACGGACATTTTTATTTCGGTCAAAATCAATAGACTTATCAGAATTATGCTCATAAATTGTGAGACATGTTGTAATCAATCGTGATTTTTTGTTCCCTTTAAATCTGCTTCTCTTTTTTATTCGTCACATGACATCACAATGTCTAATTGATGCATGTGAATCATTGTCGGGCATATAAAAAAGTGAAGCAATCAACTGATAAAGTGTCACCGAATTCTACCCGGTTATATTGAAATCATTGTTTATCTTCATAGACAAAATGACTATCGTTCCAATCGAGTGCACAATGTATCTTCGTCACCAATACACAATACACACGAACTGATATTCTTCAGTCAAGTTGATTTACTATTCATAATTTATTGTGTAATCGAAACTTTTGCATTATTCTTGACCCTTCTCAATAGGTTACTAGCTAGCGAGTATTTCTCATTGCAATGAATTGCAAATTTTTCGAAATGAAAAGCAAAAAAAAAAAAAAAAAATAGAGAAAAAAGTATCGGTTGCGATGAGAAGTAGGCGCGCATACTTGATAAAAATAAATCGAGAACAAATGCGCTTAAAATGGTCATTTGTGATATGATATTTGAATTCGTCGCAAGATCAATTGACTTGAGCACAGGAGGCACGTAGACCATAAAAAATGATAATCGATAATTTAGAAGAAAACGAGAGAGGAAGCGAATAATTAAAATAGCGATAGCATAGTATTATTATCATCGGGAATGCCCTGAATGCTATTTTGAAAACAGATTGAATGGAACAGCAATTTTGTTTGCTCTGCAAAAATTGAGACGTGCGGCAACATGATAGACAGTTGCCACTGAGACGAGATAAAGAACCGCATGACGATATTTAAATATGAATAATCCGTTATCAATTTGCTATTTTTGTTGCTTGTATAAAATTAGAGCAATGAATAGCGTGGTTTTTAACACGAGAAAATTCGATGTTCGCGCGAAACAGCACGCGTGTTTGATCGAATGCCATTTACATTGAGAAATCAACGAAGAATCACTCGACGGCCTGCTGATGCTGATGATGGCAACAACTTGATTTAGTTGTTTACTTGAAATCCTTTTTTTTGTTTCATTTATGATTTTAACACGAAAAACTACAAATTAAGCGCGTGTTATTGTGAATATTGTATTCACGCGCTTGCAATCATTTTGATGATACTATTCACAAATGTAAATAGATGTTAAGTTGATATATGCCGCCAAATATCGTACCATCAAAATTACGATATGATTGAAGGCACATGGCGAAAATTTCAAAAATCACGAAAGAACGACATTTTTTTTTGCAACAATCACAAAAGTAATTATCGACTTGATATTTAATTATTTTATGCGTTGATTGTAAGCAATGAACATTCACGAGATTCATTGACGAGTAGTTATTTCCAGATTTCAATGAATTTGCTATGAATTCTCACATTTGGATCCATTTTCATTTCTTTGCCAATTTACGTGTGATTCTATGACGATGATGTGGTCACCGTTGCTTTTTCTCTCATTTTCGGAAGACAAATAAAAATGAATCGTTCGTCACCACCGTGTTTCAGAACACACAAGTAAACACAATAAAGCCGATTTTGTTCAATGGAACGAAAAGAAGAGGTTCAGTATTGCATGTGACAGCCGACTGATCTGCCTGCTTATTTACTTCATTCGTTCGTTGCGTGTCACACATGCAAACACTTTCCATAATCTCGCCTATACACTGAATGGTGTGTCACAATCATACGGCAAATACATTCTCACATTTTATAGTATATGTTTTTTGAACAATAACAAACCAAACCGCTCTCCTCTGTATGTCTATCGCAAACAACAAAATAAAACACACATACCATCAACGAAAACATTCCATTGGAACGAATTGGCTCTTGCCTATAAAAACACTTAGCACCAAATGTCGGCTATTCATTGCTCAATTGCAATCCATTGAATTCAAAGCAACATCGTTCTTACGATTGAAGAAAAAATAATAGGAAATAAAAGCAAATTTCGATTGTAGTTCATATTTTCATTCGAATTACGATTGATTATTCTATTTTGTGAAAGAAATACATAGTACGTACAGAAAAGAAACACACGAAACATTTAAGTGAAAAAAGAAAGTGCGATCAAATTGTGGAATTTAATTCTATCATTTTTTGTGAAACATTCTTAAACCGTTGCAAACTCAAACGGTTTTAAAAACGATATTAAAAGGCAAATAAATTGTACAAAACAAACCATTTGACCATTTCAATGATCAACAAACAACAAGCAATTCAACAAGCAATTATATTGAACACTTCAATTCCAGTAATTTGAAAGGAAAAGAAAGAAGAAAGATAAAATAACCAAGTGAACTTTGCAACGAAAATCAACATTTTTTTTTTAAACAGAAAACTATAGGCGTGATATTATTCCACATTAATAAAAAGCGTTTACATTTTAAGTGAACCAATTATTATTTCTGGAAGTTACAAACTAAGCAAAACAAATCGTCAAAATGTCGACTGAAATTTTTCATTCAAATAATAATCATCATCATTCAAATAACCATTACAACTGGTGTGTATTTAAATCGAAATTAAATTCTCTCTCTTACTGATATCAAATATTTGCAAACTAAATTTTCCAAATGCTAAACGGTGTTTGTTCTTTATTTATTACAGCATACCAAACGGATCTCATCGCGGTTCAGATTTATCAGATTTGTCCGATTTTGATATTGAAGAATTGATCAGAATGCATAAGTTGTGCCGTCAAGTTTCAATTGAATCGCCGGGACCAGTTGTAAAAGACTGCGTTTTCTCATTCGTTGTACCAGTTCCTGATACACCCGAAAACGGTGCTCGTGTTAAGGTAATTAACAAGTAGATTCTCTTTCCTTTTTTCTATCACTGCAAAATATATACATATGCGATTCGAAACCATTTGTTTTGCTATGTTTTTTTTTTTGTTTATCAATTTAAACATGGTAGAAATTTAGAAGAGATGATTCAGAAATTTACTGCGGAATAACAAGCTACAGCTGGAATTTTTATAACGAAAACAGTAGAAAACAAATGGTTTATCGAGAATTCCATGCGCAGCATTAGTTATTTATTATATCCAAAGGAATGGCGATGTTTTTATTTACTTACTGCGCCATTTGTATGTATTGTTGTGTGTGTAAGTACCTCTATATGTATTGTATGTGGTTGATTCCACAAAGAGTGTTCATTCGCACTGAACACGCACTGCATGCATGATACAAAATGTATTCATTTGAAAACACAAATACGCCGTCTACTGCGTATTTTATTTTTGAGCTCGAGCAATGCCTTGAGTGAATGATAAAAACAACACGCACAATCTTCTATACATTCAATTGATGTGCGACATAGTTTTGGCAATTGGACAAATTTTTTCGTGACGATTTTTACTCATCATTGCACTTTTCATATGATTTAAGAGCAAATTAGAAAATGTCATTTGCGTTGTCGTATTTAACACACAATAAACACCCTCCAACCAAATGTATATATCTCTCTTTGTATCGCACGAGATTGGCGCGTGTCTTTCACCTTCGCAAATTCTATTTTAAATTTTTATAACGAAATTCGACTTTTGCGCAAAACAAATGAAAAAAAATATGAAATTAATTCATTGTAAATTCTCTTTGAATCGGGTCAGGTTGTGTATGCCGGTGCATGCTATCGTCGTCAAAAGTCACCATCTATTTCGAGTATGTCGAGCATATCATCGGATTTGAGCGAATTGGCTCAACAAATGGCTGGATCACCACATAGTTCGGCCGCATCACCAGCTCATCATGGATATCGTGATGGTGCATTGTTTCCCGGTTTTGAAGTGGCTGGTGTCATTGAAGAGCTCGGTCCAGGCGTCTCACAAAACAAAGAAAATGGCTTCTATGTTGGCCAACGCGTTGTCCTCTATCCATTCGATGATTGTCCAAATGGATATGCTGAATACATTGTTGTTCCTGATTTGAAATATTTGATTCCTATTCCCGATTCATTTCCATTGAGCGTTGCAGCAATGCTTCCAACTGGTGCTCTTTTGGCCATGAACACCGTTTTCGAGGCCCAAGAAATTCTATCGCATTTGCTTAAAGAACGTGAAGCCGCTTATGCAGCAAATCCAGAAACATCACCGCCACCATTGTGCCGAATTTTGATTGTTGGCACCGGTGGTCTTGCTCTCTGGGCAGTACGAATTGCTGCCTATCACTTCCATCAATTAGAATCCAGCAAAAAAGTCCAAATCACCGTTGCCAGTCTACGCGATGAAGGTTTCATGTTGGCTAAAGATTTTGAAAAGTAAGTGCCTTTTGTTTTTTTCATCATTTCCTATAAGTAAACTTTTTATAAACTGGCGCTGAACCAAAAATAAAGTGCAAACAGTTGACACGTCGGATACAATAAAGTTTACTAATTCCAAACTATTTATTTTCTTCTTTTTGTTTTGATAAATTTACAGCGTGAATGTAGTTCAGTGGAGCGAAGATTTGTACGAAAAACAATTGATTGAGCGAACAGTCGATGCTTGCGGGGGTGCCGTTGATATTGTTATCGATTTTGGAACAACATCACGCAGTTTGCACCGTTCGATTCAGTGCTTAAGCAAAGGCGGCGTTGTTCTTGTCAGCGAAGAAGTTGGCGAAAAATTATTGCCAAAATTCTCCAGTTTGGCCGACAAACGTGAAGTAAAATTGCGTTCAGTGGCCGACGGAACCATCGAACAATTGAAACAATTAGTGGAATTGGTATCATCACATGAGGTGAGTTTTTGATCAATCATATAAAGGTTATACATTTTGACAAAACAAAATGCATATTATTTCATCTGAACTAAATAATTTTATTTTGTCACATTTCAGATTGAACCACCACCACACTCTGTGTTCCCATTCGACGATGCACAAGAAGTCGTTCGCAAATTATGCCATTCAGAGATTCCCGGTCGTGCTATCTTGAAATTCCATGACATTGAGTAATTTGTTTAAGTATATTTTCTATAGCTACAAGAACAGCTTAAATAGTTTATAACAAAAACATCATCTATTCACTTATACTTGCGCATACACAACAACAATATAAAAAAAAGAAACGACAACAAAAAATCGAACGTCATTGCTGCGGGAGATGCATCACTATCGTGTTCAAAATCATTGGCATTGTGGTTATGTGGTGCACATCAAAAATCAGCGCACATTACTCTTGAAAATGAAACAAAACCCAAACAAATTATCTACAATCACAATTGTGAAGCACTCCCCCGTTATTTAAAAATCACAACAACAGCCCAATGTCGTAGAATAATGCGAACAATTATTTACTACATACAAATAATCCAATTACATTATAATAATAACACTGGTATTTGAATGAGGTAGCAAGATAAAGTGTGTGACTGTTTATTAACAGACACGGAATTTCCGATAACGCATATTGTCATTGTTTACAAATGTGCTAATTACATGAAGAAACGAGAAGAAAAAAACACACATCAACCAAAACAAACGATGACAAAGAGACACACGCGGACACTAGAGATAAACGTGAAGTCATTGGTTTGCGCGATAATTTTTACAGCGATACATCGATAATCACGGTTTTTTGAATTGCGATTAAAAATTTTAATTGTAAAAATTTGGTGATGTCATGTCGCAAGCGCATCATTGTTGTTACTATTTGTTTGCATTGATGGATTTTCGTTGAGCTTTATGCGTACTTTCACGCTCAATCTTGACTGATCAACAAAATCCAATCACATTATTAAGATCTGCATTTTTACGATAGAAACCATTAATATGTTCTTTATTTTCCTCTCACATTTCAATATACGAACAAATGTGTCGATATGTGTGTTTGAACAATCAAATAATCGAATTGACAAATAGTACACCATAATTTCGTTGCGACATATAGAGAAAAAAAAAACAACAGCACACATTTTTGAGCAAATAAAAAAGAAATCATTAATTATTATATTGTTAAAATTAAATGAAAAACTACGTTTTACGGTGTTTTGAAACAATATCCTATATTTTTTGAATGTTAATTTAAATTGTAAAATATGAAAAGAGTAATATCAAATCCAGACAAAAAAAAACTTTGTATGTCTAATTAAATTAGAAGCACTCATATCGCATCACCGATTGGGTATCGATCCTTTTAAATTGGCTAATCTATTTAACGTAAAAACACAAATTAAAACCAAAAATTAAATGTAACCATTATATATTGGAGACGAAAAGAGAACAAGAGAATCAAAAGTGAAAACGAATGTTTATGGATCCAAGTTTTGTGCTTTTTGGGTACGCAACACAATTTATTGATAGATATTTAGGTTTCATCCTTTATTTTTTTTTTGTTTGATACATATATTTTTTTAATTCTTAGACGATAATTTAATTTATGAGTACAACAAAAACCTACAAATTATTAAGAAAAATCGGCGTTGAAGTTCAACAGACCGATTGACTTTCAATTTAACTTTTTCCAAAATGAAAATCTTTTAAGATTTTCAAGACGATCTCAACAATTTGAGCTAGATCTTTTATTTTGATCAACTGAAGGACGATATTTGTTGAACTTCAACCCCTCTCCCCTCCCACATACACACACATAGAGAGAACATTGAGCAGACTAAGAAAAGAAATAGAATTCAAAAATTATGAAAAACAAAAAGAAACAAGAAAAAAAAACAAATTATTATGAAATTACTGTCAAACATATAGATAATTTAGGTATTGTATTTTTAGTTGAAAATAAATTGTGATAAATTTGTGAAGAGATACAAACGAAACATAAAAAAAAAACAATAACAAAATGAAAACAAAATATCTTTGGTTGTTTCTTTTTTTATTTTTTATCATTTTCCAGGCACCTTTTTATCATTTTCAGACAAGATTACTTCAAACATTTGTGACATACCCTTTTTTTGGTTTCCTTGCAAAATTCCATTATAGACAATGAGCTTAGAAGAAGATTTGATGAGTTTGATGTTTTATAAATTTTTCAAGAAAAATATTGGCCGCAATTCTATCGCTTTTTTGTGTATTTCTCAATAAAATGTGTAATTGTAGCAAAATTTTCATCTTGAGGCATTGTTTTTCAATGGATGCGAGATAAAACACAAATGTAAATGGATAGCATATACGTATAGCTGACAAACTAATTAAGGATTTGTGTGACAAAAATATTATTATAATAATTAAATGTGTAAAACAAAATGGAATGAATATCAAGCGATATGGCTAAAATCTAAAATTGTAATCTCGCTCCAAATCGTTTCAAAATTTCGTTTGTTTCGTTCATTCATTTGAAAATTCACCGATTCAATTATTCAAAAATTATATTAATAATATTACATAATGATGTAATTGATTGTTATACTATTCCGCACAACCAATAAAAAATTGATATATAAAGGCGAATTCTATAAGAATCGTATAATGTAGAAAATATTCGAGCACTAAATGATAATCAATTAAAATGTAACTTACTTACGAAACGTTTGGTTCAGACATCATTTCATGCACATGTGCAAATCAACAAAACCTTATTTTAGAAGAAAAAAAACATAAGCATTGCTCTCGTACGCATTGCAAATGTATTGTAATCATTTTTTAAGTTATATCGTACTGTACTGTATTGCATAATGAATTCAATAATTGCCATCAATCAAAACCATTAAAAGCATCAACACCACCATTTTTACAATTCGATTCAGTCGACTACATAAAATTTAAAACGATAGCTTACATGTAATTGCAATCGCTCTGGGATTTGTTTAAAGTCCATTTTACTTGGGCCGAAAGATATGTGACGAAATGGATAAACAAAAAATATGCTCTCTCTGTGCGCAAATTTTGGAGCAATTTGAATGTTCTTTTTTTTCGTCGGAATGTTGCGATTGAGGACATTTTTGCATGGAACATTTTTTCCCGAGAATTGTTGAGAGTGATTTTGTGAAATACATAATAATCTAATTGAATTCATCACATATTTATCAATTAGAATAAGATTGAGAGAAAAAAAAAAGAGATAGAGCGAGAGGAACGAGAAAAAGAAAACAGAAGATAACGAATGTTAAGCTATGAAACATATAAATAAAAACATACATTTTTAATGCGAAATCAAGTTGTTTCAATTGACATTTTGTTTTTCAGATTATAATACAGCTGGAAACGCTGTTTTTCATTCAAAGAGAACCCAACTGAATACACAACTTTCATCATCTATTCCACAATAAATAGCAGGAGCTGAAGTTGGATTGTGCAACCAGAAAAACAGATCTGATACATTGAATGAACCAAAATAAATCTATCTAGAAACCAACATGTCAGTTCATTTTAAAACCACTTCAAAGATGTTTGCATCGATGTTGTCATTTTAAATGCATTTGTTTTCAGTTGGAATTTGGAGAAAAAAGTTCGGTGTGTCATTAATTTGAAATTGCAACTCAGTCCATCATCTATAATCTACTGTGAACCTGACGATGCTTTGTAACGTGAATTCACATTTGTCCAAAAAAAAATTACCTTATTTCAACAGTTTTCTTAATTTAAAAATAGATTTGATTGTTTCATTGATTGCGCTGACCATATGTGCGGTGCAACCTGTGCCAGCAAATAACTTTGGTAACTGTGATTATCACGTAAGATTAAATGCAAACGAGGGAACATCCGTGATAAATCCAGGTAATATAACTATGATTAAAAATAACATTTTATCGTGTAATCAATGTGATACGTATTTTTTCTTATTTATTATGATGAATTAAGGGGGGTATGTTGGCATCTTTGGATATTTTGGATATTTTGGCTTTTTTGATCCCGGTTCATCATGTCGCTATCACATCGAATGCCCACAAAACTATATGATTCGTCTAATTTGCTACATTAATATCGCTGTTACGGTAAAAACCACGCTCTTCAAAAGATATTTTGAGACATATTGACACGTAAGATGAATTGAATTTCAAGCAACTTTTGATGAAATCAATTGACTTTGCCAATTTTATCATATAAAAAACGTTACATAAAAAACAATTACATATTAGTTCGCACTAAATATAGTCAAAATGTCCCAAAATAGTTCAATTATTAATAACTGAAATCAGGAATTGGTGCAACTTAAAATATTTGACAATTGATTCGTTTTTGTTAAATATGAACAGAGTGATGATTGTAAAACCGAACAGTTTCGTGTACTGGATGATGGTACTAATAAAATAATGGAAAGAGGCAGATATTTTTGTGGTCAAGGTGTGATTACATTTAAGTCACGCTCAAATTTCATCACTTTCGGTATTGAAATACACATTTTTCCTTAATCACAACAAATATTTTCACAAATCGAATTAACTAATATGGGGTGAAATTTCAGGTCATACCTCAACATATTATAGTGGAAGATATAACTGTACACTTGTCTCAATTTTTGAAAATAATGTGAAATAATAAGGATTTTTATATTTTTTGCCACTAAAATATCGTTATTACGAATAAAATGTATTTAATTAAAAAATTTAAAACGATTTCTCGTACTTGACGTGCGTAAGTACGTACGTGGCTGAAATTTGACATTTGACAAAAGTGTCATTCTCATTAATGCCAATATCACGGGAAACCGAAACGAATACTCAATTTTTTGGTTCGATTTTTCAGTTCTGTAGTTGGGTTTATTAAATTGAATAAATTTCGGTTTTGTTTTGTTAGGTCGTTTTCCGTTTCAAAAATTTAGCTTTAAAATTGATCAATCAAAGCCATTTCGATAATGTGGTCCGATACAGTATTGATAATATTTATTTCGTTGTGTACAGCGTTTTTGGGTGAAGGTGAGTTGATTGATTAGAATTGCATTACCGTGGCAAAATTACCAATTTAATTTATTAATGAAAACGTTCGTTGAATGTTCTAGGATTGACATGGCTCTTAGTATACCGAACAGATAAATTTCAAAAATTAAAAACTGAAATTGAAAAACAAAGTAAAAAACGTAAGTTCTTACTCAAGTAAAACATTTTGTATGATATATTTGGTGAAAAACACAAGCAGCATAAATCAAAAACATTAAATACAAATTTAGTGGAGAAGCGAAAAGAGACATTGGGTGATTCGTTGGACAAGCAGCACAAGAAAAAGATTGAACGCGATGAAGAAAAGCTGAAGAACAATAATCGAGATTTGTCATTGGTGAAAATGAAATCAATGTTAGCAACAGGATTTGCATTTACTGCCCTTCTCAGCATGTTCAACAGCATGTAAGTGGCAACAAAACTCACATATTTTTATAAAGAATTAATGCTAATGGCATATTTATTTTCGAATTTGCATTAGTTTCGATGGTCGAATTGTAGCACGGTTGCCATTTGTACCAATATCGTGGATTCAAGGTTTAAGCCATCGAAATCTTTCTGGTGAGCATAATTCAATTGAATGTGTGACATTTAAGAGACAATTTATAAATTGTATATCTTTTTAAAATACAAACTAGGCGATGATTACACCGAATGTTCTTTTATTTTTTTGTACATTCTCTGTACAATGTCGATTCGGCAAAATATTCAAAAACTCCTTGGTTTTGCACCATCACGAGCAGCCAGCAAACAAAGTGGTGGACTATTTGGCGCCACACCAGGTCAATTCAAATAAATCGATTTGTATGAACTGCAATAATACCAAGAAATTTTAATAATAATAACCAGAAGCAACATGGAAGGTGAATTTATATTAGTAAATATTATTTGACTGTACTTGGAAAAAGACGGAGAACAAAAAAGAGAACCATTCAATGTACAAAAATAAACGAATTAAATACAAACGTCATTTTCATGGTATTTATTTACATATTGATAGGTTTATTTTAAATAAGACAGCGAACGCATATTTACACTTTTTTTTCTGAATTTTGAGAAGATTTTCAATAATATAAAAAATTCGTCATAGAAAATATCGAAGCGAAACAACCATGCGGATGCTATCAACAGTACCTCAAGGATGCCACAAATAAAAATCGAAAACAAACAAAGTTTTTGTAGTAACTTTCAGTTTATTCAAGTTTCTAATTAACTTGATTAATTTGTACTTGTTTTTGGTAACAAAACAATATGTTTTCAAGAAATAGTAAATTTTCATCGATATATAATGATGACATCCGAAATCACTTGCAGTTGAACTAATCCAACTCTACGAAGTTCATGGGAGATATCCAAAATATTTTTAAGAAATTGTAGTGGTCGCCCTTTTTTGTGAAAAATGATTGCATTCAGAATGAATGTAGTTTTTGTAGTGATCATTTCTTTTTTGAATGTATTGAATGTGCAAAGTTTATTTGAACGTACCAACAGTCGTATTGATTTACAATCAAATGCTGTATTTCCCTTAAAATCATTGCCACACCGTCCTGGCACATCCACTCGCGTGGCATTTCTGGGTCAAAGAGGTGATCGTTTATCACTTGTTTGTAACATAGACTTTTCTACCGGATGTCGTCGTTCTTCATTTTTCGATACAACAGTATTTAGACGTGGTCGGTGCTGCGATGATTATTTCTATGTTGGATTCAATTTGCAAGCGGAAATTCAAGGTGCAGAGTATTTTTGCGGTCGAAAAACTATCCGGAAAATGTCGCGTCAAACATTTGGTCGACCGATCTTAGTTATTGGTATGCGACGACTATATATAGGACAACTTTTTTCTAATGGAAAATTAAAATTAAATTTGTTTCACATTAAAGCTACATCGGCAACAAAATGGGGAAGATTTGGTAAATACAAATGTTCTATTTCATCAAGCGGAGCAAATCAAGCAGTGACAGCATCATCAGCATCAACGGAAGCGTCTGAAGCATCTGAAGCATCTGAAGCAAGCGAAGCATCTGAAGCAAGCGAAGCATCTGAAGCAAGCGAAGCATCTGAAGACGAATCCGATTCGTAAGCTTTTCGAGGTCGATTCACTTTTTATATCGAAACTATCATATATTTTTTTATCATAATATGAATTCATTATTGTTGGTTAGATTAAGCTAAAAACAATAAGACAATAACAAATGTTTACATATTGTATGAAACAGATAAGCTTCAAGCTTGTGTAAATCAAGTAAATTACAAATGATCATCGCATGATTATCAAATAGTGTTTTTATTATTTCTCTAGGAAGTAAATACTGGTATCACAAAATTTGATAGAGTTTGCGTGTTGTTTCTAATATATTAAAATTGTGTAAACCATTATTTTTGATTGAAAATCTGTTCAAACGATGCTTTGATTTTCACGTTGACCCATTTATCTGCAATCTCTAATGTGGCAATAAATTTCAAAAAAAAATTTTAAAATGTCCACACACGAAAAACATTTGTATTTGCTTTGATGTTTATCAAATTGTAAGCTGAAATAAAATGATTGTTAAAACAAAATTCGAAATGGATATTTTCTTCCCTTTCAGTTATCACAAGTTATATGAATTTAATCTTTTTCTTTTTTAATTCTTTTTCTCTTTAATTGAGCAATGTCAATAATTTGTTTTCACGCGCAAAATAGATCTCTTTTGAATCGATATAAATATTTATCTTTACGGTGTCTGATCAAATAAGCGTCATTTACAAAATTTTAAATTGTCTTGTTACTTGTTATTCAGTTTAAATAATTACTCAGGTACAAAAAGAGACTTTTATTCCAATATAAAGAACGTGCTTTTTATATCTGCTCTCGAAAAAATGGAAAAAATGTTCAACAAATTGGTTTTATGTAAAAATGTTGATTAAAAATTGTGTTTAATTCAAAATTGCCGGAATTTACGTTTTATAATTGAAATTTTGAATATTTTTTACAGTGATATTTATAACAGCGAATGCGTATCCTAATTGTCCTACAAGCTATTACCAACTGACCTCGAATCAACAAGTAACAGTTAATAGTCCCGATTATCCACCATACGGAGTTAGAAATCCAAGTAGTTGCCAATTTACAGTAGCAGCACCAATTTTTCATTATTTGAGCGTTTTATGCTCCAAGGGTTTCGGGGTAAATGAAAAATATCTTTTTTTATTGGAACAAATATAGATTGTTTTTTTTTCTTTACTACGATGTATAGAATGCATCAAGTCCCTGTGACCCAAATGACAGTTTGGCTTTGTTAGATGGTGCAACAAATTTTGATAATGGCAATCCATCGATACGTAGATATTGTGGCAACGCAAATATTGCACTTGACACAACATTTAATAGCGTAACTATTGGTATGTTAATCATATCGTTCGAAATTTGGTAAACTAAACAATACAAAATAATTTCTTTTAGCATATTCTGCAAACCGATTTTCTGGATATTACCAATGTGATTTCAGGGCGATACCAAAAGGTGGATGCGATTGTGGACAAAGAACAATTGTAAATTTAATTTGTTTATTTTAAATACTTAAACTGTGATTGGTGAAGAAGCATGGGAAAATTTAACGCAATTTTGTGTTTTTTTTTTCTCTCGCAATATTCACTCGTGCCTTCAAATCAAGCGTGTAATCGATTCTCAAGTGCAATAGCGCTAACATAAATTTTTCTCTCATTTGTCTGTCTCCCTTTGTTCGCTTTGCGATGCGTTTGATGTTTTTTTTTTGTAATCATTGACAACAATCGAGTGCTGTCGTGCTTCTTTGCGTGCATTTTCCAATTGCTTTTGATCGAACGTCTGATCAGCGGTGATTTTATTCAATTCAATTGTATCAGTTTCGCACAGATCATTTCCACCTTTTTTCAGCATACGTTGTTTGCTATTCAATGCTCTACGTGATTTTCAAAGTTTTTGCACTTCGGATTCATAGTATTTTCGTTGATGGTCTAATTTATTTTCTTACGTGGCAAGCCATTGTTCGTAGTTGATTTGAATTTGACGATCTTGTTCGGTAACAATTGTGTCCGGTGGAATGGATGGTGCCTTTTGTAAATTGGCCACAAACACTGGTATGCTACATCCTTCGGTTTTAAAAACCGTTGGTTCCATGCCGGTGTTCATATTTTACACTTGATTTTGCATGACTGTTGAGGCGCTGGTGGTTGATGTTGTTGTGGTTGTTGTTGCTTTCTTTGATACTTTATTTTAAAAAAATTCCTTCAATTTAAAAATGCAGTCCAGAATTGTTGGCGGTGAGCGTGCAAAATTGAATCAATATCCCTATATGGTTGCCATAATGAAATATGGTCAAAGTTCACCACTGGGAGGTGGTGGAACATTGAGTAAGTCTTTTTGTTTACAGACCAATTTTGTACATTATTTTCAATATTTGCATTTTTTTCCTCCGTATTTTGCTGTATTTGCTTTGTAAATATAGTCTCTACAAGTGTTATAATAACGGCAGCTCATGTTTGCTATCAAAAAGATCCAAATTCAATATACGTTTCAGTTGGTCGTGATGACTTAAGAAAAGGTTTGCATAAACATTTACATTTCATTTTCGTTGACATTGTTATCGGTGAGATTACGTGTATTATTGATAGGAACCGGGAGATTTTCTAAATAAAATTACCGACTGTTCTTCATCTCACAGAATCAATTCAATGCTACATATTTAAAAAGAATTTCACATTAAAAGAAGGCTAACATTTCTTTCTATTTTACTACCAAAAAGATGTCAAATATGATACATTATATTCTCAAAACTATGATGTCAGCCAAATTATTACACATCCGTATTATAATGATCAAACGGATGCTAATGATCTTGCAATCATATTGACGAAAAGATTCATCTCTTTCAATAGAGGAGTTTCGGTGGCCTGTTTGCCTGGTCCTAATAAGTCGTAAGAATGAATATTACTAAAAGAACGTTGAAACAAACTTTTCAAATAAATTTATTTATAGTGTATATGCGTACGATGGACAAAGGCTCATTGGAATTGGTTTCGGATCGTACGACTTCAGTTCGGATTATACTTATTATCCAAAAGCAGCTTATGTTGATGCATATCCAAATGATCAATGTGCAAAGTTTTATGCAAATCAGGCAACAATAACATCTGCTGATCTATGTACTATAAACAATGCAAACGATACGTGTCAGGTATGTAATGTTAAACAATGTCTCATAAGACATATGAATGTTTTATTTTTATTTTTTTCACTGCAAAAAGGGAGACAGTGGCGGACCTATGATATTGCCAAGCTATCGTGACTTCGTTGTGGCTGTCATTAAATCAGGTAATGCTTGCGGAACGCAATCACCCTCTTTGAATCAGCGCATAGATAGATCGTGGATAACGTCACGCACTCCATCAACCAGTTATTATTGTTATTATGAAAACTAAATTAACTTTGGAGCCGTCTGTGGGGCACTCAGTGTCCGGGGCAAATTTCAAAGAAAAATTAAACACATTTTTCCACCACACATCACTAAAATCCAGTGTTCGGTAAAATCCAATTTTTGAGTATCTAAATAAGATAAGATTTTTGTGTGTGTCGAAAAAAATATCTAGATAAGATACAGGATCTTATCTAAAAAAAACATAGAAGATGAGATAATATCTTCGATTATCTGAGATATTTATGAGGATAAAAAATGGGTGAACATTTTTTATTTGAATTTTTTAGAAATATCTTAGAAAGTATCTTATCTGCAAGATAAGATAAGATATTAGATAAGATACTGTACATTTGATTGTCCGAGAATTAATTTGAGACTTCTCCTAAGATTTTATTGAAATGTAACACCGCCATGCAAAAAGTACTGAGTCGTCACCAATTTTTGTCTCACATTCATTCTCGGACAATCATTTTTACCTTGTGTATACGTGATGAATATCTTAAAAAGCATCTTACCTGCAGATAAGATGAGATATTAGATAAGATACTTTAAATAATAAGATATTAGATAAGATACTTTAAATTTTTTAAATTTGTTTTCTCAAAAAATTATCTTAAAAAGTATCTTATCTACCATTCAAAGATACTGAAATTTTTTAAAGTATCTAAATAAGATGAGATTTTTTCGGTCTAGGTACAGATAAGATATAGATAGCATCTTATCTGTATCTTATCTGGTATCTTATCTATTATCTTCATCTTTACCGAACACTGCTAAAATCCGATTTTTTTATGTATTCATGCCAAATTTTCTGCGCAAAGGGCCAAGACAAAAAATATACCAATTTCATCTTTAGGGCCACTCATTTTAATATTATTTAGTATGAGAAACAAATGAAGTTTTTCTGTAAAAGATTGTGTATCGCTTGTTCTTATATAAACACTTGTTGCGTTGTTCGGTGTTTCCGTATTGTGAAATTCCATTTCGAGAAAATTTGTTCAACGAATATTTTTAAATTTTGTCAGCACCGTAATCAAAAAGTAGGTAGTTCGCAGAAATATCGGAGAAATGCCATCTTTTTGGACAAATTCAACCAAATCGTTTCGACCAAAGACGGTGCAAAGGTTAGATTAAGGAAAATAGTCATTTAAAATTAAATCAAATCACAATTGTTTGGATAACAGCAGACGAAATCAAAATGTTGTGCATTCAGAAAATGCGCAACAGAGGGCGCCACGACTATAATGTAAGTGTGTCAAATTGCCGCAACACTTGGCATTCAGAGCGAATGTTTATAGAGCCATAGACATTTATTGTAAACTACGCTTGATTATTAATAACAACAATTTTCAATTTATTCAAATCTGTTTGTAAATTTTAATTCAATTCGATTGAAATATAGAGTTGAAAGAGTTTAATAAAATCTTTGCAACGTTGAAAGAATTCACAAACAATGGGAGATCGATACAACATTCACAGCCAACTGGAGCATTTGCAAAGCAAATATATTGGAACTGGTCATGCTGATACAACAAAATACGAATGGTTAACCAATCAACATCGTGATTCTTTGGCCAGTTATTTGGGCCACAGTGATCTGCTTAGCTACTATGCGATTGCTGAAAATGAAACAAAAGCCCGTGTCCGATTCAATTTGATGGAACGTATGCTGCAGCCTTGCGGTCCACCACCAGAAAAACAAGAAGAATAAACCGCCTCATTATTGCGTACAAATGTAAACAATAAAGACAAATTCAATAAATTAACAAAATCTTAAGAAAACAAACAAAATTTCATTTTATTTATTTTTTTTTTTTTTTTTCATAAAAAAGACTTTCCCAAAACGAAACTATTTGTTTAAGTCGATTTTTTGTGATTTTCACTTTGATCGATACTGTTTTTTACTTTATTAACTAAAATCTGTTGAATAATTGGTACGATCTGTTTGTTGTGCTCACGAAGCACTTCCGTTAATCGAGATACCGTTTTACTGCTCATCAATCCGCAACACCAAAACTCCGACACTTGTTCGAGTGTGTATAATGAAGACATCACAATCAAACCATGCTCTTGATCCAAATCAACGCTGGTGCATACATCCTCTTCGTCTTTTGTTGGATCAACCAACACTTGATTGTCAACAATTGCTACCGATGTTGCTGTCACCAAATCATACATTGGAATACCAGCATCGGATATAGCCAAACCGGCTGCTGTGATGGCTGCCGCCAATACGGAACCATCGTCTTCAATTATATTCACATAAATGTCTACTTGAAAATTTGTAAAAGCATATCGACATACGGCCGGCAATAGGGCCCGTTTTAGTGAAAGTGCCAATGATTTTTCAGCTACGTCATTTTTAATGGCTCGTCGCTTTGTGGCGAACGGTGAAAACTTAAATTCACAATACAATTCACCATTTGAGCTGAAAAAAAGAGAATGGTTTGGAGTCAAAATTAAATTCATTTTATTGACAACGATTTTGGAAGAAAATAAATTGGAATGTATTGCTTACTTGAAATTATTCTGTTTATTGGCCACCTCACGTGGATCGAACACCGAAACAATCACCTTTGTATTTCCCATTTCGATGTATGCTGATCCTTTTGCCTTTGATATAACATTGAGCTTCAAAACTGAAAACAACACAAATCATGAACGAATATAACATATTTCATTTTAATACGTACAAATCTTTCGGGCTTCTTCAAATTTCCGTTTATCTTGCCGTTGACCGCCTTCTAATATTGTTGCCAATTTTTCTTGGTACGATTGTGTTTTCTGTCGGCTACTCAAATGATATGGCGTTGATTCCGGCCCTGAAATTCGTTTTGTATCACTGGCCATCTTTTTTTTATTTACTGTACGCTTTCTGTTACAAAACAATGCCAAGGTGAAGTAAATGCGCTGGTTATCACGTTTTACAAATTGTTGTATATAAATTATATTAAGGTTATGTCGCATGTTATTTTGATTTTCAATCTGTCAAACACCAACACCAATACAAATCCAAATGTAATGAATTGAAATGTTGAAGCACACATTTTCGATGCAGAACAAATGAATACACGTGAATATATGAATATTTCGATTATGGTCAATAAATAATTCTCGTCTCTAAGATAGTTAATAAATTCAATGAAATGACAATATGACAAATGTTGTTTTTTTTTTGAAGAGATGAACTTTATTTTTTTTATTTTCTTCATTCTAATTTACAATTTAATCGTCAGTTTAACATTTGTTGGTAATTCTTTTTTCTGTTTGTACAAGTATTATTTGAAGAAATTTAAAGAATGAACTCTATAGTTTTTTTTGCACAAAATTTAAATGGCGAAATGTGCATTTGTTTTTATCTTTGAATCAATTAATCAGTTGTCAAGTCTCTTAAGCAGTCCGTTCCAAAAACAACTATGTTATAAATGCTAATGAAGTAAACTAATATAGAAGTCGTTCTTGATTGTTTGTTTTTTTCAAGTTTTTCTTTCGTTTTTTTTTATTTATCTTAGGGAAATGCATTATTCCAACAACAAAAAACTGGATATGACTGAAATATTTTTAAATCATCTCCTCTAAAAGATTGGTATTCAATCTTATTTCTTTGCGCTTGCTTTTAAAATGTCTAACCAATGATCATGCCAATGCCCAGCCGATGTTGATTTTTAACGTGATTCAAATGACCACTTATGGCGAGTGTAAATGGTAACGGTAGCAAGCGTTTTTCAAGCACGGCGCCCACATTCCAATTTGTATCTAACATTCCGCGGAACACTAAATCGGCTTTTGGTAAATCAATTTGATAGCCAAACGTTCCGACAGCCTCTTGTACACGAAAATTTGTTTCAACCTCAACACCAAATTGTAATTGTTCACTGGCTTTGCGATAATAGCAAACATGAACACCGGCCAGGCCAGCCGTTCCGGACCATGTTGACAAACCGTTTTGGTAACGAGCCGCAGCCGATATAACAGCAATTTCGCCTCCTGGAACAGCTCGTCCATATTGATAAGCTAATTCACCTCCAAGTGCCAAATTTTTTGTTACCTACAACAAGTGGGTAATTGATATTCGTTTAATTTGCATATTATCTGCCATTTATTGAATATTAAATCATAAACACTTACCGATTGCAAGTAGTGAGCGACAGCAACACCAGCTTCATTGATCAAATCTGTGTTGGCGAGTGTGAGTGATGCAGTGAAATCGCTGCCTTTGTAATCGGTGGTCAATTGAGCGGCCGAAATTTTATTATCTTGTATTTGTGAACCGAATTTACAACGTATGTTTGGTGTAAATTGATGTATAATATTAGCATTCACATTGCCCGATGGATCGATATCACCCAATACCACAGGAAATGCTTCAGTTGGTGATAATTGTTTCGTTCCAACATATGTGGCACCAAATTTATAACCACTTGGTGTTGTCGATGACAAATTAATTGTGTGTGACACTTGAAAATGGCTACTCAAACCTTTTTGAATCATTAGTTTGGCGCCCTCAAAATTCGTTGGCATCACATCTTTACACTTTTTGTGTAAATCCTCAATGGTGCCCGGATTTTCACGATCATCAACATTGAAAAAGTTGTCTGTTTGTGCGGTCGATGCATTTTCCAATGTTTCTTTTGTCACGGCTGGTGATGGTGGTAATGATGGTTGAGATTGTGATGCAGCCAACACGTTACCCATTATTTATTTTTTTATTTTTTTATTCAAATGTCCTCCTGATAAAAAAAATCGTACGACTTTTGTACGTGATTTTGAAAGAAGACACCACTTTTACACTATGACAAAATCGAAATGTTCCGAAAAATTTGACATAACCACACATCCAACACTGATTAACGTTAGTGTGTATGATTTTCTTTTAAGCATGACTATCGTCTCATGACAGTTGTGTCACATCGGTCTCTATCGACTAATTTTGAAATTTAAATGATGATTGCACGCAAAAAAGTCATACAGTTTTTTTTGTTCTAATAACCGTTAACGTTACAATTGTAAATCGATATCTATACTATACGATAATGAAAAATAAAAACAAAAACTCATGAAAATTATAAATAAATTCAAATTCTTTTTAAAAGTATTTGAAATTTTATATTTTTTTCAGTGATTTTGTTATTTATATTAGTTAGAATTAGTACATTATTTTTTGATCCGACCAAATTTTGACATGGTGGGGTACTCCCCTGCCCTTGATGCCCCATTAGGGCAGCCTTTATTTTCAAAAAAAAAAATTCGGCACATTATATCGATCTGTATAGGTGACATCAAAAACTTTTTGTAACACTTTGGGTACTTTACTGGTTAATAATTAATTTTTCTTACAAAATTATATTTTCCAGAAAACAAATAAAATCTCAAATGTTACAATGGTTGGTTTGAAGCTGACCGATAAATGAAGTATTTCTTTTTCATTAAAATAAAATCAAGAATGTATATTTCTTCTTCCTCCTCTCTTCTTTCTAACGTTTACTGAAAAAAACAAATAACTGGAATGTAATATGCTTAGCGTCCACGTTCAATTAATGCATTCTATGTAATTTAAATTTGAACATAAACATACCCAGTTGGCAGTTTCGATTTCAAAATAATCTGCGCTTCAGACTCATCGACACAAAAATATTGCAAATCATTTTGGTTTTCAAACACCGCATGTATCATTTTGTTCAAAGAAATTTTGATTCCTTTCTGTGCCAGAACAAAAATCATGTCCTCTAATAATTTCTCATAGAAAAAATTTAGCGTTTCAATACACGTTAGCTTACCCAAGCAATGCTTGAATTCCGTTGCATGCTAATCTTTTCCAATCTGCAATGTCTGTAATTTTGCCAGTAGTTGCATCGTAGTACAAATAATTTATTTTCCTTTTTCTAAATAAATCGATCAAAAACGAATGTTTTAACAATTTTCCATTGGCATAGAAACGGCCGGCCCAAATGGAACATATTAGATATCATTAGGGCGAAACATTGATAGAAAAGAATACATTTACATTCAAGTAGAACGACCACGTTGAAAGTTTTGCTTTCATAACCATATGCGCGAGCTTTAACAATGCCACCATTTGGTAACGGAATTTCTGCAGCTGAACCGATGTCATCGATTTCATTAATACAATGTCCATTATTGTTTTCCATCACTATTGATTTCAGCTGTGATTCGTGATTGAAATGCCCTTAAAATGAATGGGCGTGTAAAAATATGCACAACCGATTCCTAAATTGAAAATAATAATAAAGAATTGAGGAAATCAAAATCAAAATAAAAATAACAAACGCCAAAAATCTTACGGTCGAATCATTCGACGGTAATTCGGCAATGATAATGTGTTTATCGAACATTTCTTCAAATTTCACCATTTTGATTCGAACGCTCTGCTGAAGAACACACTGTCCAAAACGACGATGCCACTTGCACTTGATGTCACACGTACACAAACACACACACATACATACACAAAATCGAAAATACCTCCACAAGTTTAAGCACGAAAATTCAGCGGCATGTCCAATTCTTCACTGCATTCGTTTCGCAGAGTCGAGAGTACACATCCCCCCGAGGGTGAGTCTCCTAGTAAGTTATATACTCGAAACGGACGAAGGGTAGCAAAACACCCTCGATTTCGTCACAAATGTACAAAAGGAGCTCCGCATAGCGGAAAAACAAAGAAGAGAAACAACGGAGAGAGAAGCATAAAGTGCTAACCATCCCTGCGATGTAATATCTAACGGCAGTTCCACGGGAGAGTGCTAGAAGAGTGTGCAAGGGTGGAGTTTGCATGCTAATCGGTCATCTCACCATTAGTATCTTTAGAAGATTCCACATCCGGGCAAAAAAAGCCAAAAAACCACACACACACACCTAACAACAAAGGTTGTCAGATGCAAACGATTTGTCAATTTCTTTGCAAAATGAAATCAAATTTTTGACTTTTCGTCAATAAACAATGTTTCGTCGGGTTTTCATTGAAAATGTGATTACATATTTAATATGTTCTCTGACAGAATTTTTTAGAAAAAAAGAAAACAAATTTGTTCAAGTTTATCAATTGAATTTTCCTGTTATTTATTAAAATGCATTTTTTTTATCGTATTAAAAGTATATTTGATTTAAATATAGTTCAATTTTTTCCAAAGAGAATCTTGTACGTTGGTTGAAGATGTCGTTGTCGTCCCCCGTTTATCCATAGACGTATGTTGAAAGAGTGAACGGTTGTTATAGTTCACCTGATTGTGAAATGGTAATAGGTAGTTTAGGTTTGTTATTTGGCCCTGTTGGGACATTTTCAATTTTTCTCATGATCAGTAATCCGTCTAGCACACGGCCAAATACAACGTGCTTATTATCGAGAAAATTACACTTTGCACACGTAATAAAAAACTGACAACCATTTGTGTCTTTTCCACTGTTTGCCATTGACAAAAGTCCCGGCGAATCATGTTTTAGTGAGAAATTCTCATCTGGGAATGTACCGCCATATATACTAATCACACCAGTTCCATCGCCCTGTAAAAATAAAAAATTTAAATTTTTATTCCATTTTTTTATCTATTAAAATCCAAATTGAAAAATGTTCTCTATTGTTTGCTATAGTGGAAATAGACTTTGTGTACTAACATTTACAAAATCACCGCCTTGAATCATGAAATCTTTGATAACGCGATGGAAATTGGCGCCTTTGAATCCAAGTGGTATACCATCTTTACGATGCTCTCCGGTACAAAATTGGCGAAAATTTTCACTCGTCTTGGGCACAACATCAGCAAACAATTCTAGAATCATTCGACCGATTTCCTGTAAACAATATTTTGCATTTAGTTTTATTCGGATAATATAAAACATCTGGTTTTTAACCTAAAATCGAAACTATTTAGAAAATACTCACGGTTGTTCCGACTGAAACATCGAAAAAAACGACCGGATTATTTGGGTGCCGCAATTGGGCTTGGATTTGATTCCATGTAGGCATATTTATGCCAATTTTATGCTATAAATTATTGTTTATTTGTCGGAAAGGTAATGCTAAGCCAAAGCTACAAACGATTAAAATCGGCTGTCAACAAAACCAATTGTGTCGTTTGATATGACACTGTAACGCTCACCATTACTACATTTCGTTGTATATGTATTTGACATAAGCACCAAAATGCTGTCAATTCCTGTGTACGTGTGTATGTATTTTTCTCAGTCTGTCAACGATTCAATGACAATTCACTTACCGGGGTTTTTGTTAGACACGTGAATTGTTTTTGTTCGTTTGCAAACATTGACGAAATTTACAACAAACTTCATTTGCAGTAAGTGAAATGATAACTTTTTATAAATTTCATTACACTATTTAGTAATATATTTCTTTTTAATATGATTTTCAATGCCACTTTAACTGTGGTATTGTGTGACAGTATTCTGAATAGGGTAAAAATCTTTGGTAAGAACTGAAAGTTGAATTAATACCACAGTTAAGTCTTGGCGTCGGTGCAGTTTCATTTTATCAATGACATTTGTTTACGTTTTCCCGATCAAGAAATGATCCAAATTTTAATTGTTAAATAGTTTAACGTTTTCCGTTAGACAACTTTTTCCAGTGAAGCCCGGAATTTAGAATCAATTTCGGAATGTTTTTTTCTCATTCAGTTGGGGATCGAATCGGATTCGGAAACATAATTCAGAATCGATTTGCTCTAATTGAAGTAGAATGTATTTAAAAACGCTATTGACCGTGACATTTATTAAAAATGTAATGCAAACGAACAAGAAAAATGGCACACAATTTTTTCCGATTTTTTGGCCATAGAAAAATGTTGAATCGCATCCAAAACCGAAATTCACCACAAAATATGAAGCTGAATAACTCATCAGCCATTTATGCACAAATTCTAAAAATGCATGCACAAATTCGCACAAATTATGCACAAAATAATGGTATAGGTTTCAATAAGATACTCGAAAGTGACTTGCTGGAGAGTGTAAGCCTACTTATTTCCTACGTACAATAAGCTTTTAAATAAGAATGCAGCCGATGATTTGTTTACGTTCAACAAAAAGACTTATTTATACCCATGCGATTACTATATTTATGTGATGCAAACTGACATGCAATTTCCACTGGAAAATCGCTTCAATTCTATGAAATCCGGTGGTCTATTTATATCAAGGAGCCACATCTATTCATGGTCATATGGTCATTTTCATTTTGAATCAGTTGTAATTCAGATTCATTCATCGAATGTTTATTCAAAAAAGTATGATTTTTGATTCTTTTTTCTTTATGTAAAATAGTTTTTTTTTTTTTTTTTTTTTTTTTTTTTTTTCAATGAACCAAATTATAAGTAAACTCTGTAACTCTCCTGCCTTTGGCTTGTCAAATTTTCTTTCTATCAGGCTTTTTTTATCGGATGCCATAATTTTTGTGGAGTTCCACATTATTTTCAACAGGTAGATCGTAATTTTTCGTCTTGGTCCTCCATGAGATGTTGTCCTTCATTTGGTCATCATTGGTCAAGAATAAAATGCATCAAAAGTGAAATACAGATATGAAGTGTTGCTTGTGAGAGATCAAATATATGTATTTGTTTTATTTGTTTATTGATTTTGAAATGACAATTTACTACGGTGCTATTTGCTATTTTATTTGGCATTATGTAATGTCTAAGGAACTCGAAGTAATATTTTGTAATTATTTCAAATTTGGTCAAATAACTATAAGAGTACATATCATACATGGGCACGGAAAAAATTTAGGGGGTCCATCAGCCAATCATAAACCCTAGCAAATCGAAAGAATCTTCCTCTCGAACTACCTTAGCAAAACGAGATTTTTTCGTTTTTTTTTTGGAGATCACTTTTTTGACGAAAATCCCTAGCAAATTGAAAGAATTTTTCGCGTAAAACCCTAGCAATTTTAAAGATTTTCTTCCATTTCTTAAGTTGATTAGCAAAAAAAGGTCTTCACTTTCCTGTGAAAAATCCCTAGCAAATCGGAAGATTTCTCAGCTGCCGTCGAGGGAGGGTGGGCTCGGACGATTTGAAGGGAGGGTTATCCGGGCTTACACCCCCCATGTGCCCATGTATGGTGCAAATGACAAACACCCAGATACAATAAATTTTATTTTGGTAAAAGATGTGATTTTTGAAATGGCCGTAAATTTTTTGAACAATCTGCTTCCATGACAATCTCAAACTGATTATTTTTGGATAGTTTCTGATTTGTATTCAAAACAAACTGTGCTAATTAGAATAAAAAAATCATTTCAATCGCTTAGATATCAAAAAAAAAATTCATCTTTCAGTTCCTAAAATTGGTCATATTTGATAATTGTGAATTTAAATAGTGATAATAAACAGAGAAAAAACTATTTAAATTGCCTCAATTAAATTTTTTATCTCTCAGCGATATTTCTAATTTAATAATTTTTAAATGATACTACCTGATATTCGGGAAATATTTAGATATTTTGAAATATCTCGAAAGTGTTTAAAGTTTGCATTTGGTTGCCAATTTTATTGATATTTTGGGAAAAAAAATCTAATGAGGTTTTCAGGCTTTGAATTTTTTTAAATTTTCCCAACAACCATCTTTTGAAGTTTACAGTTTTAATTTGAACAGTTAAAATGAACGTGAACCGAACGTAAACCGAACGTGAACGAATATGATTGCAATATTTTTTTTTGCGATCAACTTGAACCGAACCGGAACGAACACGAACATGAAAATATAATATTTTTCGATTATAAACTGTTCAGTTCGGTTCAGTGGGCACCTCTATCCTATACTGACTACTAATCATTCCATTTCTTCTACTTTTTGCACTCGTTTTTTTTCTCTCGATAAAATTGTCGACGGTCATATGGTAGCGACTAATTTAAATGAAGACGATCATTAACCCTTAACCGGGCAGGTCAAAATACTAACGTTATCGGGCAAGTGGGGCCTCTGAGGCCCGACGTACATTTTCCATGCAAATTCAATGAATTTTTTTTTTCTTTATTGAAATTTCAATGAATTTATACGATGAAAATTATTGTTTCAACATAATAGATATTGAATCAAATATTTTTTGTAAAATATAACTGAAAAAATGAAGAAATAATCAATATTTATTCCGAATGGGATGAATTTAAGTTTCATCTCAGTAGTTGTTTAGTACAAATTTTGCACTTCATTTTAAAAAAATTGATGACATTTCGTATGGAAAATGTACGTCCGGTAGTTGTCCTCAATATAACGCTACTTAGGGAACCAAATTCAAAACAACTTTTATCAACGATTAGTAGAAGGATGAAAGAATATATTACAAAACAATTTGTTTGATTAAAATAATATTTTATGCGATTTTATGTATCTTTTTTTTTAAATGCGCTACCGGGCCTCATAGGCCCGACCTGCCCAGTTAAGGGTTAATCAAACATCATTTATCAGTTAAATAAACTCAATCAAAATATCAAGCTTCAAAATTTCATTTGAAAAACGTCGCATAGTCAAGATAAGAAATTGAGTTTATGGTTTTAATTTAATAGGTTTTGTCTTCAAGTGAGTAGACGGAATTTCTGTTGTGAATTTTATTAAAGACTACTTTTATAATAGTTTCATTAAGATTGTTATGAATCTTCGGTATGTCTTCCATTTCCGAAACAAAATATTTGGTAATATTGGTAAAATGTTATGTGTGTGTTTTTTTTTATTATCGGTGTTCAATCATTTTATTTGTTTAAATTTCCGTTTGGATTCGGGGATGTACCTCGTTTGCGTTGTAACACTGGCGAACGATTCGGAGAGCGACTAATCGTAATTGAACTACAATTTTCATTTTCCGGTGATGGTGACGAACCAGTGCCAGTCGCTGAATTACGTCGTGATGGCGTCAAACGCATTGTTGCATCCAAATGACGGAATCTATTAATTAAAATCAATGTGTTAATTCATTTGTGTGAATCGATTTTTTCATAACCAAATCGTTTTTACCGAATCGGAACATTGCTCTTTGGTCCATCGTCTGAGCTGGCAAACAAAAATGCAAGTGGCCAACTAATCCAAGATGCTGAACCCGGAGCGCAACTATGCATATAAAGACAACAATTGTTTCTGAAATTCTAGCAAACTTTATTGAAAGATTTACCTTGATGTTGGTGTTTGAATGGCAGGCGCTCCTTCGGTAATCGGTGAATAGATTTCAGACGACATTCGTGGTGTTCCAGCTTTATTGATGGCCGGATTATAAATTTTCGGATCACTGACCATACGCACGAAGAACGAACGCTTTTGGGCCAAAGTTTGCTTTCGTTTACGATCCAAAATTTCGAATTCGTCGGCTTGTTCCTTTTCCAATAATTCCGTTGCAAAATCCGTAATTATTTCCCATGCAATATCTATATTTTATATACGATTTTCAGTTACGGTACAAAACAATGCAAACGAAAATGTTTTCTTTTCGAAAACATCAATTGTCATACCAATATCATCCTCAGTGGCACTTTGAGCAACAGCACAGAATCGAATGACATATTTTTCATTTACTGAAGCTGGCACCATGTGCAATTTGCCCGATTCATTAATAATGCTCAAAAGTTTTTCGTTCAATTTGTCAGAGCCCACTAACCGAAAGCATACTAAACCAAGCTAAAAATAATCACACATTCAATATGGATAATTGTTATTTTTATATGAATCATTAAACACTAAATTATCCATTGGATACTTCAATGATAAATAATGTGTGTTTTAAAAATATCCCAGATATTTACTTTGACCTCATTGCAAATTTCAAATCGTCGATCTTTAAGTACAAGACGTTCGAAGCGTTTGGCAAGCTCAATGTGACTTCGAATGTAATTTTGAAGGCCAGATATTCCGTAATTACGCAACACAAACCTACAACAAAATGCACACTTTAAAAACAATTCAATTTCATTTAATCTTGATAATTATTCATTTTTTTTGATAAACAACATTCACCAAAGTTTGAGCGAACGAAATCTACGACTGAGTGGTACACCCCAGTGTCGATAATCAATGGCAGCATCTGAATAACCGTGTTTTAAATACAACGGATCGACCTAAATTAAATTAATACAAATATTTACTGCACATTTATCGTTAATGCATCGAAATGATTTCAACCGAATCACTTACAACTAATGCCGATGTTAAACGAATTCGATCTCGTACCCATAACAATGAACAGTCAAAGTTCACCAAAAGCCATTTATTCGAATTAGTATTGAATGAATCTGCATACTCAATGCCCTGCATTCCAATGTTTCACAGTAAATAAACTAAAAAAAAACCATCCATTTAAATTATCGTAATATAGTTCCTTACCTTGAGTAATGCCTTTAGTTCGGGACAAATGAATGCATTCCCAGCATAAGCGGCATCAACATGAAGCCAAACACCCGGAAATCGTTGCAACGCCATACCAATTTCTTCGAGCGCATCGAATGAACATGAACCCGTTGTTCCCAATGTTGTCGACACAAAAAATGGGACTAGTCCTTGCAATTCATCTTCTTCCATTGCTTTGGTTAGTGTATCACCACGTAGACTACATTTTTCATCTGGTTCCAAAATTCGTAATTTTACAAAACAAATCATGGCTGCTTTTTCCACGCAACTATGCGCTTCTTTGGAACAATAAGCCATAAGCTTTGACAGAAGGTGACCTTCTTCAACAAAGGGATGCTGTTGCTTTAAATGTTTTATTGCTTGCGCACGAGCCGCCAACATTGTCACCAAAATACATTCAGAAGCGGATGTCTGTCAACAGATCGATGCACATTGGAATTTTGTAATGTTAATGGAATTTTCATCAATCGTACTCAATTTTAACTAACCTGAATGACACCTCCACCCTTACTACCTTCTTTCAATGCAAGAAAATCATCCGGCAATCCAATAGCTTTACCTTTTTTTTTGTGAAATAAATTTTTATCGATATGGTGTCAAAACCTAAATCCAGAACATGAATTACCTAGCCAATCTAGTACTATAGTCTCAAGTTCTGTACATGCTGGACTCGCAGCCTATAAATTATTTATTCAATTTTTTTTTTGGTTTTTTTTTCTTTAAAAATAAAACTTACAAACATAGAAACTTACCCAAGAAAATCCGATACATCCGATTCCATCGCTAAGCATATCACCAAGAATGGATGGATATGAATTGCCTGCAAAAGTTGAACGCCTAACATATATTGAAGATCGTTGAAAGTTAACTATTTTTTAATTACCAGCTGGAAAATAGGCATGGAATCGCGGATGTTGCCAATGCGTTACACCGGGCATAATTTTCGTTTCGACATCGCTCATAATGTCGTCCCAATTTTCTGGATTTTGTGGTGCTTCACCAGGTAGTAAATGTCGTAAATAGCCTGGTTCAACGCTTGGTGTAACCCGTCGCTGATCCAATGTTTCCATATACTTGCAAATGTATTCAACCATCTCAGATCCACGAACACGAAATTCATTGCTATCCATTTTGCTTATTAGTTCTTTTTTCTTCAAAAATAGATTTCTTTGGTGTTTTATTTAATCAATAATTGATGCGGAACAATATTCGTTTTTACACTATTCGGAGATTTTGAAAAGAAATCTGAATTATTTTCACTGCCCCAAGTGTCATTTAATTTAATTATTATTCAAAGAAAAATGCAGTATTCAAATGGAGAAAATTAAATGAATCATAAAAAGTGGAAGAATAAGGCAACCAACTCTTCAATTCAAACAATCTAATTCGAAAGCATTGTATATCACCATCAAACTTAATATATAAGGGTATAAGGAAGCATATTTTTGTGTTATGGCTTTAAAAAAAAGAGACGATCTCAATGAATGCCACGAAAGAAAAAAAAAACCTCTTGAATCTCTCGTTTCAGCCGCACTTGAAATAACAATGCGTTTAATTATAAGTAATGGCACAACCAAAAGAATGTATGGAAAAAAATCACGCCTCAATTTCTGAAATCGACATATTCAAGTGTTAAAAACGATTGCATATCACAATTCGGTCCTTTTATATCGCGAAAAATGTAAAGAAAAAAAAGAACGGTTCCACCGGTTTTTGAATGATGTGTTGGTGGTTCGCTGTTGAGATTCTTCTATTTTCTCTTCCATCGATGATGCTGGCATGAGAAACAACGAATGCCGTCGTTGCATAGTGCCAACATCTGATTGATAGATAGATTTGATTGATTGATTTGCGCAAATTGAAACGCCAAAATATCGCATTCATAACTGCATCGAAATGAGGAGAAAAAAATGCAATTAATTTTTATTACAAAATGATCCGGAGTCATTCAAGCTATTTTGATTTAAAATCGATAGAGAAAAAAGTGAAGCGGAAAGATAATTTCACTTTTATGCATTTGGGTGACGGTACAAAATAGATTTTACAAAATAGGTTACTCTCAATCAAAATGTTGTTGTGATCCCAATAACTGACACTATTTTCACGGACTGACTTTAGTGACGGTGCGTTATGGTCGTGTTATTTTATTATTTTTAATGGATTGCAATTATGTGAGAGTAAACGATGTGAAAGAATTCAGTTTTCCGGGTAGAGGAATGCAAAAAAGAAAATGCTATATGGACGCAAATACTTTTAATATTCCTTAGTACCCAGTGACATTCTCTCATATTACTATTTTGCTGATATCGTTTTATCCACTCTGTTTGCAACGGTAACTTGCACTTTTAATAATATACATAGGCACCTTGGTGGTTTGTAATAGGCAATTTTATTAACCACCACAAGATGAAATTTTAAAGGTGGTGGAGTCGTTGGCGCGCGCATAAAGGCAAACAGCAATTACACCACTTTTTGATGAGAGAGCAATTAATTAATTATGGTCGTACGGATGTGTATGGTCACTACAGACAAAACCAGACCCCTCCCTTCTATACATCTCCCTCTCTTTCGTCAAACATTTTTAATTAATTTAAAATAAACACACTTCTGATCCAAGTTTTATATTTAAAAAAAAGAAACACGATTGAAACTTTAAAATTGAAGAAAAAAACCGTATCCTTTTTTGATTGTACGATGAAAATTTTATTCGAACGATCACATGAGAAACACTTTTACTGACATTTATAATTGAAACAAAATATTTATAAAAACCGTTACCACAATCAATTTGTAATTTTCGAAATATACACACGTCTTATATGCACTATTTCCTCTGGTTCATCCACTACACTATTGCGAGCGAAATGATTTGAAAGGGCCGGAGCTCGGATTTGTGCGTCCGATCACCACAAAAGTTCCACTGAAACTGAAGTCGATAAGAAAAAGTCTTATTCGTCGTAAAGTATGACCTCAAGTGTGCTTCAGAAAGTGAGAGATTTTAGAGAGCAACCATATGCAATGCAACAAGCAGGATGACTTGAGCTTACTGTACTTTCTTCAGAACAAAAAAGGCGAACTCAATTCTTAAGTTGGCTATTTTTGTTGTTATTGCGTGTGTGTGTGTGTGTGTATGTGTGGCCTATCATGACCTCTCCACCATCTTACACTCTATAATTACATTTTTCTAGTATAACACCAGCAGACTGGCGCATTCGAATGTTCCGTTGGCTAAAATTGAATGGCACGGTGTGCGCGTCTTACACTTTTTCAATTTCTTCTTTTTTTTCTTGCTCAATCTTACAATTCCAAATGAAGTCAATTCGTGAGTCGAATGGGAAACGGAATATATCTCTTCATCGGTTGGTTGAATGCGTGTTAGTGACAAACGGTCGAGTTGGAACTCCAAACGAAAACTTGGAGCAAGAATATGATTAAAATGAAATAAAAAAAAAGAACGATGCCAGAAAAGAATTCGAATTCTCTGCAAACACGTAGCCCGTATTGTATTTTGAATATTACCACTTGTTGGTTGCAGGTTGGTCGCGTGCATGATGATGATGTATGAGTGTCAATATTCAGTGGAAAGCAAAAAAAAAACAGCAAATTCAACCCCACAATGTTGTTTTGGAGCACACATTCAAGCGTCTATATATCGGGTGTATTATGATGTCGTTTGCTTGGCACTTCTGCATTCCGATATGCTAGCTATCGGACCACTAATGAAAATAACGAGCGCGTTATCTCTTTTTCACACACATTGTCTGCGCTTTTCATTACTTCATTCGGGAATGGTGCAATGACAAAAAAAAATTGCTATTGAAATTTCTCGCACCATTTTTACCCTTTGTGCACTTGAGAAGTGAGGTAATGACGTATATGTACGAAATCGACAATAAGATTTAACCGAAATCATTTCCTTTTCGCCCTCTTATAACTTCCCCCGACCTATCACTTCTACCATACCACCGAATTGCTTTATGTCGACGATGCGGACTTTCTTGATCCTGTATCTGCGTGCAGCAAGTATTTTTGTGAATGAATATTCACATTTTGTTTCATGATTCATATCGATTTGAGTGTAATAAAAGGCAACATCGACGCTTATATATATATTTTGTCAATTGACTCCATTACATTTATCGAAATAAACTACGATAATTTAAGCTATTCCAAATTTTGAGCCTTGATGTGCAATTCAAAGTTTCCAATGAAATAAAATTCGAATGATTTTTTCATCACATTACTACATAATCGAGGGCACATTCGAGGGTGGCCACATAGGCTCAAGATCGCTTTACAATCTCCATTCATATGCTCATGTTCTAGATGTGATATTCTTAATATGATTTTTGTTTTAAATGTATTTTAAGCGCGTGAGACAATTCATAATGATTCTTTTTTCTATATTCGTTATGCAAATTTGCTAGTAAGCATTTTTCTGTTCACTCCGTTCTTTTTCTTTGTATGTTGACACATTCATCGCGTGGTACGTTAGATATTAGATTAGTTGATATGCTTAAAGAAGTTCATTGTTTCCATTACAAATTTATTGCTAAACGGAAGTATATCTGAATAATGAATATATTTTGAAGCGTAACACACATGCACATACACACACATTTACCGAATGTATTTTTTTCTATCTCGAAAAACATATTTGATTGCTACTTCTCAACTACTGCCAAAATTCAATCCTATGGATAGCGAGATGTAATGCATTTTTATAAATTATGAATGGAATAAAATTAAGGTTTTGTTTGATCAAAGAAGTTTCTTAATAACATAGAAAAAAATACATCCACATGCACGTCAATCCATACACATGTGTATTTTTTGTGCGTGTGTGGAAACTCAAGGGAAAGACAAAAACATTGAATTAAAAAGTGAGAGAGAGTAAGGGAAAGAATGAAATTTATGGGAAGAATGATGTTGTATTATTTGCCAAACGATGACGTGCTCTCGTAATTCACACACAACGCAAATCATAATTGAATCGACATCGAAGTGTGGCAAACGAATGATAGCATTTTCGCCTTCTCCAATCGAAATACAATGCACATACACACTGTACAGTACTGTACACATCATCAACATAGCCCGAGTGCTATCAAAGAATGCGAAATGGAATGCGTAGCCTGAATTCCAAAACTAACTCTCACTCCTTAATATGAATTCGAAATGCTGATGCTGTTCCATCGTCTTCTTATTTATTTATTTTTTCTTTTCACTTTATAATTCTCATGTCATTTCTTCATTCGATTTTATTGACTGTCTTCAGTGGTGAATCGAAGAAATTCGTCAATTATATAAGACAGTCACTCTGATCAGAAATCATCACCAACCGTTCGACTATATCAACTTGCCATCGAAATAAATGTGCGTATAGTAAAACTGGAAATGAGATGTAGCGCGCCATCTAGTCCATACACCAGACGTGGGTGTTGACTGTTCACATTGAACCAGAAGTTTTGGCCATAAATAGTTTGCATTCCAAATTCCTACGTGCCACCATCAAAAGTTCCACTGAAATCAATAATAGCACTGCATGTCGCATACACACTCTTTTGATGAAATTATATGATATCTTAAGATTTCACTCAATCACATCAACACACGAGCATACACTTTACTTCGTCCAAATACACTCACCAAAAATTTGAAGTTTAATTAATATTTTAATGGTTTGTGTTGCTGGCTCCACAGTTTAGTAACAGAGTTAATAGCCATTACACTTATGAAAATCCATTTTACAATTGAGCTGTTTTATTATTTAAATGGTTACATTTGGTTAGTATACAATTAACAACATTATGCGAGCGAAACAAGTCATTTTCATTGTATCAATGATGAAATAACGTACCACATAAAGGCTGATTAAGACGTTTGACAATAGAATAAACTCATGTTAAAAGGTGTGCGTCAACATTGACTGACGACAGTAAATTATGGAGTTTCATTAAAATAGTCCCGTTTTTCCGCACGAAAATGATATCACTTTAAAATCACTCAAGGCCTAATACATTAAATTGAGGCTTTTGATTTTTATAGTTTACGTATTTTACAGTTTTTAAATATGGAAAATGTAATGGAATTTTTAACTAATGATGGATTTATATTTCAGATTTCATACCAAGAATTGTCAATCAAAATGATGAACTATCGAAAAGGACGCAATGTTGAAGAAGAATTAACACGAAACGATATTCAAATTGAAAATTTACCTGAAGATTTTCTCTGGATGCATGTAAGTCTAATACACTAGATCTAATCTAGAGTCTAATACACACCTGATTCGACATTAACCAATTTAAAAATAAAACATAAAACACAAGTTTCTTTCTGTAATCTAAAAATCTTTTATTTTTATTCACAATTAAAATATGCGAAAATCGTTGTTCAATGAAAAAAACTGAAATGATATTGAACAGGTAAAGGGTGGAACGACCGTATCAAATGTGATCGAATTTGCAAATAAGGCTCTTCAGTCTGGTGAACATCGCTCAATTGTTTGGACTGGCTATGGAGGTGGCGTTGGAAAAACGATATCATGCGCTGAAATACTAAAAAGGGATTTCACATTACATCAAGTTACCAGATTATGTTATAAAACGTAAGTAAATGCTCTTCAATTGGAAAGAAAATAAATAAAATGGTATTCAGGTGTTTCATTTCTTGATACAAATATGATAAAATATACATATGAACCGACTAGAATATTCGTGACCTCAAGAAATTTGTCAAAATGATTTTTTTATATGAACATGTTACATTTTTTTCCTGAGCTCACGAATATTCTAGCCGATTCATATATATTGTTTTTAAATATTTTATTTTCATTCCTTAGAAATGAAGAATATTGGGACCCAATATTGGATGGTTTAGAGCCGATTGTCGTAAAACGAAATATTCCATGCGTTCACATTTTAATGTCATTAGATGAAATTGATCCAAAAACTCCCGGGTAAATAAAACTGAAATTTAAAAGAGAAAATCAAAAAGTTATTCATTCAAAATAAATTTTTTGTTCGATTATTTCCTTTGTTCTAGATATCAGTTTTCAAAAAATAGGACAACATTTTGGGTGGAGTCTAGTCATCCAACATCAAATCGACGTGAGCCACACGGCAATCAATTTAAAGGAAATAAATCCGATGTATCATCAAATCCGGCGGCAACCAATCGAAATCAATCAAAATCGAAAAGGCCAAATCGGAAACCGAAAGGAAACTCTAATCAGATGGAAGTTGATTAATTTATGTTATGAATAGCATTGTTAAATTTATTTTTAAGAAAAAAAAAGAGTAAAATAAATGTTAAATTCTTCATCTTTTACCATTTAACATGATTTTGTTAGAAATTTTCAAATGATAAATACAAAAATAACATTTGCATCAGGTAACCTGTGAGCATTGCAACTAACAGCCTGTGTGTTAATAACTGTCACTTTTTTGCTGTCATTCATATTTGTGCGTCTGATCAATCGGCGGTAAAAATACATATCGCTCGGTGATAATATCAAAATTGCCTTCAGCTCTTCTGCTTCTGAATAAAATTGCAACAATTCCAAAAAGACTGTAATACCAAAGACTGACCGAATCAATCGAAACAAACACGGAAATGGCATTAAATGTCAACAGCCGTAAGCGAACTCGTTCGGAGAATGATTGTGAATATACGACTCAATCAAAACAATTTGTCAACGAACAGACAATTAACATGAGCAATGATTCAAAAATGAAAGAAATTTATGGTAAGTATTTATAATGTAGATAACATTGAAAACCTTTTATTTTAATCATACGAATAGTAACAAAAACATCTTGACATTTTCAGATAAAACCATTGAATTGCTGTTTAAGAACGCCAATCTCAAGTTTTTTGACAACAATAATGAGACTGAAATTGATATGGCTCCAGTACAACCGGTAACAACAAAGTGGCAACAATTTGGTGAAAAAATTTGCCTCAAGGGTGATGGTCAAGTCAATTATATCGATGCCAGTTCGAAAGGTGCAGCCGAAAATGTGTCACGTAGATGCCGTTTCTGCGCCAAACCATCGTCCATTCAAGCCACCGACTGCATAAATTGCAATTTGGAAATATGCGAATTCTGCGGTATTTCGTGCATGCAGTGCAATGCCCCATTGTGCATGAGCTGCGTTCAACTCTTGTAAGTTTAATTAATTTTCGTTTTTCTTTTAGTTCAACATTTTTATAAAATTAATTTCATTATAATAATATAGTGGATGCTGTGACAATTCCATCGACATGAATGCATGCTGCGTACGTTGCAAACAAATTTACAATCTCCAATAGAAATAGAAAGCACCGTGATATACAGGATGTGCAATGAAATATCATCTTTGAACACAACATTCGAGCTAATATTTTAAATGACAATGCAGTTAAAAGTCAATCAATGAAGAACATAGTCTATCTACCTCCGAATGTGGTTCTATTTGATAGGATACCATTTAAATTGTACATTGATTTTTTCGATTTATTGTAATTTTTCAAAATAGATGTATTTGTATAGATAGTTGGCGTTAACATTTTAAATGAAATTATTTAGACATCAATTAATATTTATGGAAAAAATCACGAAACTTATAATATACAGTAAATATCGTAGTGTAGTAAAGAATTATAGCTTTGTTTTTATTGAATCGGAGGTTTTGAATTCTTATTGAATTCTTAAGTGGATCGAGACGGACTTAAAGTTCGTCCGTCATTTCAATCTTTATGCGGTCTTAACAGCGATTCTTTATTTTTCATATCATCTAGATATCTATTGAAAATTTATTAAGTTGGGAATGCGGGTTGAAAGTACGCATGAAGCCGGTGCCAAACCATTGGTTCTTTGACATTTGTTTTACTTTTTCATAATATTTCGGTAGAATCAGCTATTGACTTTGTAATTCAAGACATCACCCACGAGATCTTTCAACCATAAGTATTGCAGTGTTCAATGTATCATTTTACAATGTGATTGATTTGTGTATTATTTTTAGGCCGCCAATACTGTCGGAGAGTTTGACTCGGAATGCATGTCGAATTGATTTTGTGAATGACGAATGCGGATCGATACTGGATATATTTCTAAATATGATTTTATGTCAAAAAAAAAATGTCAATTTCTGTTTTCTCGTACCCAAAAACCCCCCAATACCAATTTTCATGACGATCGAATGAAAAAAATGGTAACTTCAAAATGTCATTCCTAGGGGTAGGTTCGAAGCAGTTTATCTAAGAACTTCGAATTGATCGTAAAAAAAAGTGGATACCATTGGATTCCTCGGATCCGAATTATGTAAGATATTAGTGGTAAAAGCAGATAATCTGCGTGGAAAACTGACCCAGAAAAGTCAATTCAAAAAAATGAAAAAATAAAATTCGGTCGCTCCACTTCGGACCGTTAAAATTTTTGACACACCCACATAAATTTGAAATCTGAAAATGTGCATACCGGATCAAAATTGGATGCTCTTTCTCAAGATTGTTTTTTTTTTCACCAAAAAATTGTATTAAATTTATGTTTAATAGAAATACCTAGAAATATTTTGTCGTTTTTGTGGGGAATTTATGCCCGAAATAATGAAGAAAATAATTCCTTTTTAAATTTGGTCATATTTTCCCCAAGAAAAATATTTTATTTTCGGGAAATTGTGGCCAAAAATCCAGGGAAACTATTTCCAGTTTGATTTGGACGTAATTTACTGGGGAAAATATTGCCAGTTTGGTGGAGAATTTATATCCAAAACTGAATGGATATAATTTCCCCAGACATTTTTTTAAAAAATTTGGAAAATTATGACCGAAATTTGGGGAAATTTTAACCGGGGACGATATGCCCTACTACTACTACTACTACCAAATCTCAAATTAAAGCAATGTTTTTGTGGTCATTGATTTTGCGCTTAAATTTTATACTTTCTTTTCTTAAATTCATTGGAAATTTCCATTCTGTTCCATTACTTATTGATTAATTTCCATTTTTTCCATTCTTTCTGATCAACAATAGGTAAATTTGATGACGCTGTTGCCTTAACATTTTGAACCTGTCGCCCCTAAAATGTTTGATCATATCAGCATTGAAAAAAATATGAATTGAAAAATAAAACGAGCGAATGTAAATGTTTATTTTTGTTTTTGTTTTATGAAATGAACATAAGAAAATGTAAGGGAATTATAGTTTATATGTTTTCAAAGAATATTTCATATTACATTTAGTCATATTGAGTGGTCTGGCTACTGATTAAATAACCTGTAAAGATTAGTATAGGTTTTTTGTTGTTGTTGATTTAAATAAATTATAATGATCATATTTTCGAATGTATTTGTTTGTTTGTGTGTGTGTGTGTTGTTTTTGTTGTTGTATCTAGAGAGTATTGTTGGGTGATATGAATCTATGCATCACTTTCACCGGCAACGGCACCAACATCAGTTTCCCCCTCAATTGGTACGATGAGATTTTCCTTTGACATTAACGTATATTTGGTGACAAAGTGTGTGAAACGATGGCACAAATATGTTTCGTTTTCGAATTCATCGAAAACACGACGATGATGAAAGTATGCATGTGAAAATATGCGATAAACTCGACGACATACCGAACCTAGTTTGCCTACAGATGTTTCTTTGATTGAAACTCTGCAACGAAAAAACAAAAAAAAAAAAACAACAACAACAACAATGTATTTCAACGAATCAATCGATGTCAATGGTAAACTTGCAAAAAATATATTGATCATTACCTGCTTGGAAAGTACTTGCAACTATTCAATAAACAGGCTGCACCGTCCAATGTATGTCGTGTATAATCAATAGCCGGACATTCTTTTGGTGTTTTATGTGCGGCACACAAAAATATCCATTGTTCGGTGGCGGTCATTTGTGTGCATGTACCAGGAACACAATGGGCCTGTAAACGAACAGCCAATCCATTCAATTCCATGCAAAATTGTCTATAATTGGAATTTTTTTTATTTCGATTAATTCATTCCGAATAAATAAAAATTAAATTCAGTTGCACTTACCTCAAGTGTTCATATTTCCAAACGCCTTCATCTAGTGATTCGGGCATTGTTAATATAGCTTCAATATTTGCTGGATCTTTTTTAATCAGTTGCTGTATATATTGTTGTACAGCCAGTGTGCTATCCATTTCTTCGAATGGTTCATCTGGCCAACGGCACCAGTCCTGTAATATTACCAAGTATACATTTCCATTAGCATGGATACACTTTGATGTAACTTTTCAATTCGTTTTTGAATTAAAAACCAAACAAATACAAATGTAAACAATTCATTTTCATAGATTATTGTAATTGAGACATGTATTCATACACAAAATTTATCATCAATACTATGACAAAGAGTTTGAAGGAAAAACATTGAATGGTAGAATGTTTGGATCGTATGTCACATATCAGGTGTAACCAAAACAAATAGAAACCATCATCGAAATTTCTGCATCGATTCAAGCGATGCCAATCATTTTCACATTTTTATGTGAACGTATGATTACTTTTATTGCATTCAATAGCATTATGGTGAGAATTATTATACCTGTGATTTCGTTCCAGGACGATTTCTGCGGATAATTGTTGTGTCAGCCATCTTCATGGTTAAAATAGCATATTTGTTACTAACAAGAGAATGAAAAATTTGTTGACAGATACTTTTTTCCTTTTATTTTTTTTAGCTAAAACAATTTTCACCCTTGTGTCCCCCTATCGGTGACTATCAATCGACTATCACATAAAATATATACAGCGCTCATCGGACAATACTCAAATTTCAACAAATGACACAAGCACGATGGTTTACTCGATATATTACAGAAAAACACTCTCTTAAACCAAATGTCACTTACTTTGATCGAAGCCAGCAAGCAAGTTAATCGTTCCGATTTGTTAACGTTGAATTAAACAAAACGAATTTATTTGTAAGCCATTGTTAGTGCATTAAGTGTTAAATTTAAAGTACAGAAATATGCCGAAAATTCGTCGCAGTCGAAAGAAGCCGCCAGATGGTTGGGAATTGATTGAACCCACATTGGAAGAATTGGAACAGAAAATGCGAGAAGGTAAGAATTGAAAACGTATAACAAACGATTTTTTTTGTTTGTTTTGATTGTGTCCATTTATTAAAAAATGTGTTTTCTTTTATATTTCTTAATCGATTGCAGCTGAGACTGATCCGCATGAGGGAAAACGTATAAATGAATCATTGTGGCCAATTTTCAAAGTGCATCATCAGAAATCGCGATACATTTACGATCTGTTCTATCGGCGAAAGGCGATTAGTCGCGAATTGTATGATTATTGTATTGCGGAGAAAATAGCCGACGCCAATTTAATAGCAAAATGGAAGAAATCTGGTTACGAAAACTTATGCTGTTTAAGATGCATTCAAACAAGAGATACAAATTTCGGTACAAATTGCATATGTCGTGTACCCAAGTCCAAACTTGAGGAAGGTCGTATTGTCGAATGTGTGCACTGTGGATGCCGTGGATGCTCCGGATAATTAGCAACAATCATAATCTACGTATCATTCTTTAATTTCCTAACCTGTTCATGGACAAGACTTGAAAAAAAACCGATTATGTTAGATGATAAGTTTCTCACTTTTTCTGTGAGATTACTACTACTATTTTAATATTCACAAAAACAATAATCTGACATGAGTCCATTCTATGAAACTCCAGTTTTAATGAACATTTTTTTTAAATACCGAATAAAGAGTAAACAAATTATATGAAAAATATTGGTTCATATTTCATTTGGCTTTTATTTTTAAGAATCATTAAAATCTAAAAAAATAATAATAATACAGTTTCCATGGTAAAAATTCCCTAGAACATAAGACTTATCGAAATGATCCACTGGAAAAAAGAATGGATGCAAATAAAAGAAAACATATTGCCCTAAACATTCGGTTATTGGTAACTTTGTATTAGTCTCTCTGCTTGGAAATAGTAATAATTTATCAACTAACTTATCGAGATAAATGAATTAACCAGAAACAAAGCCAAATGGACGAATGAATTTTTGTCAAATTAAGTCGTTGTTGGAATTGAAGCATTTACAATTTTGATTGTGGTTTGTGCACATGTATATGTTCATCGGTGGAATCGGGTAATAAATTACCGGCCGCAAATATATTCTTTGGATCCAACTCTTGTTTGGCTGATTTATATAGTTTAACACCAACATCGCTCACACTTTGCGGATACCATCTGCTACGCAATTTTCCAACACCATGATGATGGGAAATTGAACCACCATTCAGAAGAATTTCCGTTCGAGCAACTGACTCAATGTGCTCATAGGTCTCAACCGGATCCTTGATTTCGTAATAGTTAAAACCAAAATAGAAATAAACACAGGCACCCGCATCATAGGTTTGCGTCACTCGACATGATATGAGATAATATTTTACACCAAGCTTTTCACATTCCTGACAAAAGAAGAAGAAAAAACAAACACGCAAAATACTTCAATTATTTGTATTGACTATTGTAAATAAAAGTAATGTCGTATTTTATTGATTTCGGGTCATGTGCGTCCACCTTTGAGATTAATAATCTTGATTTTTCTTTTTAATATTCGCTCATATCTGCCGTTTTGTTTCCATTTAAATAGTTGTTGGACAGAATGTAAAGTCGTAAACTAAAAATAGTAAAGAAAAATTGTTGATTGAACATTTCATGTTGTTACCTTCGAAACACTCAGTTTTGTATTTCGACACAGTTGTGCACATTTATCCCATGGGACGGACGTCTCAAATGATTCGGCTACAATATAAAATTCTAATGCCAGGTCCTGCAAATTGATCGAGAAACAAAATGGCACAAGTTTTTTTTATATGTTAAAACGCAAAAATGTGAAATAAACGTTAAACTACCCGAATGTATGCGATCACAAATGTAAGTACGTAGCCTCTTTCACCGTTAACCGCACCAGCTGGAATGCCACCGTATTTCTCGGCAATTTCGTTGATTAATTTTTGTTGCCGTTTCACATCCTTGTCATCGCCTTCAAACAGAAGTGTTGCAACGCACATTTTATTTAAATCGAATCCCTTCAATTTTGTAATATAGGCTTTTTTCATGCCTTCAATTACACTGCTGAAGAACGTTGCCTTCGGTTTTAGTGCTTGACCGAATTTGAATTGATCATTGTCAATCAGGCGAATACTTGACGGTTGACATTTACGTGCGGCCACTTCACGCAAACACTTGACACCACAATCAAAGTATGGAAATATCAATGACCCATACGCTCGAACTGTTGGCATTTTGCTAACCTAAATAAGTCAAGTCATACATTTTAGGTGTTCTTTTTTCATTGAGAAAATCCTTCAATGTTCGCGTTTACCTTAAGCACAACTTCGGTGACAACACCCAATGTACCCTCTGACCCAAGAATAATTTGATTAAAGTCTGGACCGCATGACAATCGTGGTGCTAAGCATTTTCGTTCAAGAACACCTTTTGTTGTAACCATTTTCAGTTGTACCTAAGGAGAGAATTACAAAAGAAAAGAATACAATTAATTTAAAATAATTGACAAATAAACGAAGATAATCGAAAAAGAATCAATAAGAATTAATTAATATAATAGAATAGAAAATTTTCAGTTGTACCACCAAATCTTCAATATTGCCGTAAACATTCTTTTTCATGCCGGAGGCTCTCGTTGCCACCCAACCGCCAAGCGATGAAAATTCATAACTATCTGGCTCGTGTCCAACGGTTAAACCAATTGCTTTCAATTCACGCTCTAAATCTTGTCCAATGATACCGGCTTCAAAACAAGCTGTCATATTTGGTCGATCCAACCATAACATTCGATTCATTTGCGATGTATCCAATGCAACGATGGAACGTTTTTCATTTTGTGGACATGTCACTGAACCCGATACCGATGTTCCACCACCAAATGGTATTATTGTCACATTTCTCGAATTTGCTGCATTCACAATTTTCACAACATCATCATGGGATTTTGGCCAAACAACCACATCCGGAATGCGTTTTATGATGCCCTCTCTCAAATTATGAATTTCGTATAATGTCTGACCATGCGATCGAATTAATCGATCAATACCTTTTATCGAATATAAAATCTGTCCACTTATATCGTTCATGAATGCATCACATAGAATTGGATCGGGGTAAACGGTGGGCATTGGTTTTGGAACACGTCTCGATGTAAAATCCAAATTGAAAATTTGTTGCACCCATTGTTTGAAATATGGTAATATCAAATTACCGATGGGATAACGATCGCCTGAGAAATAAATCATAAAATCATTGGTCACCGCGAACTTTGAGTCATTATAGCCCCAACCATTCCATTTTAACATCTTCTCTCTGGAACCGGAAAGACATACAGGGGAAAAACAATCCAAATTTTTTTAAGCATTCGAGCATTTTCTTTTCGTATTCACTAAGTTGTGATGATTCTTACCTTTCTCTCGGAATGGCACTTTTAATCTCTTTACTTGTACCAATATTTCTCGATATCGTTGATGTGGCTGCATTTTTATTTGACGCATCTGAGTTTGTTGCTGTTGCCATTTTTTCGTTTTTTTTTTCGATGGAGTTTTAATTTTATCTGACGGTTCTTCTGATTTTATCTTATACAGTAAGTTCCAATACAGAGTTTAACAATGTTTGTTTTGTTTTGTGCAATATATGCTATTTCTCATAATTTTTGGTTTCAAATTTGTTGTTTATTTTGTGACCCAACCATGCTGTGAATGGAAGTGAAATAGAAAAAAACGGTTTGAATGAAAAATCGGTTAACACAAATTGGAAAAATAAATAACAAGAGATCATTCGGATTCATAAATTTTTTTACATCTTTTGAAAAAAAAAACAAATGTTTTTCGTGGTCGACGACGAGATCGTGGTCGGCTTTTGAATGAGTTGTTTTTTAAATTGTTTATTTGAGAAAAAAGAGCACAATGAAAGAAGTCACGCCCACCAAAGACATGGTGTATGTAGATGGATCATCTCCGAAAAACAACAGTACCATACTGTGTAAACATCAACTTGATGATTTTCGTCATTTTGCGCATCAAAAATGCGTGATTCGATAACAAAAAATTGTTTGTGTGCATGGGTTTATTTGTTTATTTAAATTTACATTATACAGGTAATTCTAGCCCATGTCGCCAATATCGAGTTCAATTGAATTATTTAAACTTCATTTGAACACAAACAAAAGGCAATGGTAAATAATTGTGGTGCTGAAATGAACTTTTGACGATTATGATCACATCAATTTCAATACAGTAACATTCTGAAAACAAAAAGAAACAAAAATAAAACCAAAATAACACAACAAAAATAGTACAAATCATTGAATAATTTGGTAACTTTTTTTTTCTATTGAGTGATGTTGGCTCTGGTTTTGTTTGCTTAAACAACGAACGATGTAAAACTACAACAGCTGTTCAAAATTTAGCGCACAAATAACACACGGGGAATCCATTGAAGAGGTCGTAATATACCGAAACAATGTAAATAAAAGAAAATAAAAACAAACCGATTTTCGGTTGTTTTGCTCTCTTAGTCTCTCATCGATTTGTGTTTTCATCCATACACGTGTTGATGTATAAAAATTTCATCTTAATTGAAAAATTTGCAACAGCCATGGATTGATTTTGAATTGTGCATGAATCGAAAGACAAAAAGTCTAACATCAGCATTTTCCGTTTTGTGCATTCGTATGATGGTGCTCATGGTGGAGGTGGTTTTGAAATGTCTTTTATGTCTTGCTGTGTTTACTCAAATATTGGTCAAAAGTAATGAATTTATTATATATTGTTAGAGAAGCATACGAGTTGTAAACAGCATCGGAATTGCCAATCATTCTCAAACATATAACTGAGATTACGTGATCGTCGTTAGCACTATTAACGATTGGCTCATTCTCAACTTAAGTTTTTTCGGGTTTTTTTTGTCTTCGCCCGTTAAATAACGAATCGGCCACAATTTCGTTAAGTAAACAGCACAAAAATGGTTCGAATTTCATGTAGCTAATACTCTCATTCAATCATTTACGCATTTAATATTCACTAATGCAAACACAAACAATTTAAAGTTTGCTTTTTTGTTTCACCAATATTTTGAGTGTCAAAAAATAACTCATACATGAAAATGAAAGGAATTTTCTTTCGATTTGGTTTTATGAAAGATGAAAGAATGTAGTTGAACATTTTAACGATGATTTCGTTCAAGAACATACATTTGCTGTACCGATTACCGTTGCTTTTACTATAACCATTATTTTTAAGGTGTGCGATAAATCGATTTCATCTCATTTTGTTTCTCTCAAAAATTCACGTGTGCTTGAGTAATTCTTATGTTTTTGAATGGCAATTGTGCGTTTCGTGATTTTAGTTCATTTCACGTTTCATGTTCGGTTTTCATCTAGGATGAATGTATGTAAATGGTATTTACATTGTACTGAACTGAACGATTTCTGCTGATGCTGAAAATACATTAAAAAATCTGTATCGATTCACAAACTTGAATACATTTATGGTGGTCGTGCTCACAGCTTAATGTTTATTCATCACTTTTGTTTGTGCATTAGGTGATGATTTGACACTTTTTTCTGTTTGAATGCCAAAAGAAGGTTCACAATAGATCAAACACTGTTGAATTCACTGCAAATGCACGAATAATTACATTTTTAACTGTCTTGTTTGAAAGTACCGAAAATTACCGCATCATTTTATGCGCTACTTCTACACTTTCATCGTCAATTTCCATCCAATCGAATGTTATTTGCCATTGCTAAAGCAAAGTGCCCTTGTTTTCTCGTAAAAACCGAAACTAATAATCAAATCATTTTATTCTGAATTTTGGAAGAAAGAGATTTGAAAATGGCTGACGTGAAATTAACGTTGTATTCTTCGTTGTCATTGTGGGTTTCATATTAATTTCTGTTCATTTATTTAAATTATGTGGAAAGGTGAAGTAATCAAAATAAAAAAGAAAACATTAAATATTAGCACTTGAAAGAGCAAATAAGAAACAAAACAAAAAAAAGTAACAACTACAAAAAGTGAGAAAAAGCGCGATACCAGACGAAATGAACAGAGTTAATACACTGTGTGATGCCGCGTCGATGAATGAATCGACGATGATAATGATAATTTTTCGGGTAAGTTTTTTTTGCGCATCATTCAAACAGACGAAATATCCATCAAACTAATCAATTTCCACGAATTACTCTCGGCGGCAATGCCTTTTATTGACAATAGACAATGGTGATGATTCGACCATACTGCTGATTCTAGACGTTAATATTAAGCGAACATAATGGATAATACGATTCGGATTACTATGTGTCACCGAGAATAAACAGACAGATTTTGCATAAATTGAATTTTCAATTGAACATATGTGGTCAATTGAATAAATTTGCACATTTACACCTATGGCAAACTCGACTCTTTTTCAAATAGATTTCGAGTGGTTTTCATAAATAAGCAAAGTGCAATGGAATTTTATTTACAAATCGCTACAAACATCAATATTTGTTTTCAATAAATGTAATAATACATGATGCATCCATTTACAACGAGTGGGAATTATGGCGTAAATATTATTTTGCACCTTTTAGTGTGTTTTTTTTACATTTGCATACCATGGCAATTTTCTACTGGATCGATATGGAGATGCGAAAACAAAACACATTTGATGTTTCATTCAAATGTGAATGCATTCAGGCAAATAAATAAAAAAATACTTTGAATGTCCTTCAAGCAGCTTACGTTCGTTGTTGAAGAAAAAAAAGAAGATAAACTCTTCTCTTAGAACAAAAATGTGATCGATATTAATTATTTGAAAATAGAAGTAGGTCGTCAGTCATATCTTTCATACGGATAATGGATGGAAATTTCAATGTGAAAATTACCAAATGAAAATTGAAAGTTGCGTGTTTTTCGATGTTGGTGCGGCATTCTGTATCGAGCACGTGTAACCGTATCAACCGCTGTATTTTAATTTGATGTGTGTTAACACTGTTAACACAAAGGAATAGAACTATATTGTATAGAATTATTAGAATTATTACACGCAATCGTATCGGATGTCTTGGATTTTTTTAGCGACCCTTTTTTTTCATTTCAAACGGTATTTTTGTTTCCGAAAACAAAAACATGTACGTACACTCGCATGCATTTATTGTATACTAGAATATGACAGGCGGATTTTTCTGCACTTGCGCATTAAAGCATGCGGTAACATGAGGAAAAACTATACACTGTCATATTGGGAACTGTTTTTTTATTGTTTGGTTGCGTCGTCTTATCGCTTCTCAAAATTTAAAATGCCGAATCAATTGCACTTTGTTTATTGTGTGAATATTTACATTTTATTCAGTCAAAAATAAACCATACAACTCGCACTTATTTTGTTTGCGGTATATCATCAATGATGAATAATTGACTAGGAATGACCACACATGTTACATTTTTTCCCGTCTAATAGAATAAAATTATTATAATTAATTGAGATTTCGATTTCTGGACTAGTTAAGCTAAACGAGGTCAGCATTTGGGAGCCTCGTTTATATTGTACACTCTTAATCAATCGAAATGCCATATACATAGCTTTTTTTACCACTCATTAAACGCATAGCAACCATATCTATCATATCTTTGATAAAACATTTTACTCAACATAAATTATCAAACAAAAATGTGCCTTTGATGAAAACTGAAATTTATAGATCGAAATGAAAAGAAAAGAAACGTCGATAAATCATATAAATCATAACTTACTTCGAGTAGTTTTCACTTTCAATATTAATTTTTTTTAAACATTTACACAAAACACGAAACGAAAATTTATCTAACGATTCAACAAAATGTAAATGATTGTGATTTGTTGATAAAACGAAATTTTTGATTTTTTCTTCAGGTTTCCTTGTGATCCGGAAAATCAGATGCGATTCACAATACGGCGATTGCACCTTGTTTCGTTTAAAAAAATAACGCAACAACTATTTAGAGAGTTTGAATACGTCGCGACGGCATCCGTCTTGTAACTAAATTCATCTATTCGCTTGGCACATAGTCTGAAAACTGTGTGTATGCGCGAATGCGCAAACTTGCCACATGTAGTCTACGCTCTTACTTGTATCCCAATAATGTACTTGTTTCCATATACTCATACACAAATTATACATACACGCACACACACACCATGTATATACATATGAAATCGATTCATTTACCATACGACATGACGAAAACCGACAATTTTTTCGGGTGATTCAGTTGAACATAAGCAGTTATAATTCATTGTTCTTGGCCGGCACTCTACACGCTTCTCGTAAAATGTATCATTGCATACGGTCGAAGCATACACCGACTTTATCTGGATTTTATCAACATTTCTAATTTTAAGATAATTATTTGCTAACACAATTATTGGGCAAGTGGTATGCTTATTCTTTATCTTATTTGATAAAATACTGTGCAAAATTTGTCAACTCTTTCACTTAATTGCTCATAACTATGATTTGCTTTCTCAGAAAATAAAATTCAATTAGAACAAAAACAATTCAATTACTTCAAGTAGATAAAACAAAAGTTGCAACATTCATTCGATACATTTAAATAAAAATTGGTGGTATGCAAAAGAAAACATTTGCCAAATCAAAAGTATATCTATGGATGTCCATGAGTCTGGCAATCTCGTGCTTGAAGAAACTTTTCATGTGGGGCAGTTGGATAACGGATCTATCCCGTAACTTTGACTTTAATAATGTTTCTTTGTAATGTAAAAAAATGAGTTTGAAAAAAGTGTTTACTGTGCTATTGAAGCTTTTTGTTGCAACAAACTTCATCATCCTTGTAAAAAAATCTGAAGCGGGACTAAATGGGTGAACTTGCTGCTATGAATGTTAAAAAAATGGCCAAAGCTGTATGGCTTTGCATTTTCACTGCAATTTTTTTCTGTCAGCTAACCGTGAAATAACAACTTTTTTGGAATCGGGTTCTTTAACCAAATGCAGAAATCAAAAACGTAGAAACCAAAAAATGTGCGTCCGCTCCAATGAAACTGTACACTCCAACCAAGTTTATAAATCTGGCATGAAACGTTTCTCGCATATCGATGTTTTTATATATTCTGCATTTTGTGAGGTGACCCAGCATCGATAAAGTATATGCACAATAGGGTGGCCCAAATCTCACTATCTGAACGGATTGTTGTTCCCCGACCGGTTTTGTTAGTTTTGGTCCAAAACTAGGTAAAGTAACTTAAAATTGAGGTACCGCCGACGAAAAATCAAAATTTCATTAAATTTTTGCAAAAAATTGATTAAAAAGTGCGATTTTTTGGTTAATAATCATTTTCTGAGCAATTTCAATGCCAGGTTCGGTTTCAGCGCAAAAAATTACCCTAAAAATGATGGGGCATACGATTTCAAAATAATCTGCTTTATACACTTTTTTTGGTTTGAAAGTCAAAAAAATGAGCAAAATAAGGTATTTTTGATATGGTCGGGGTCGGGTCGTTTTTTCAACCATTAAACAATGTAATGATGCCACTGGCATCATGCCAGTTACCTAGTTTTGGACCAAAACTAACAAAACCGGTCGGGGAACAACAATCCGTTCAGATAGTGAGATTTGGGCCACCCTATTGTGCATATACTTTATCGATGCTGGGTCACCTCACAAAATGCAGAATATATAAAAACATCCGTTCAGATAGTGAGATTTGGGCCACCCTAATGCACAACATATGCAGATCACGTCTTTATGTAAAATAGAGAGCAAAAATTCAATATTTGATTCGAACATTATTCATATATAAAAAATCACCTCATCCTCAGAAATTGCATCGAATCGTTACCAATGGAAAATGAAATCCAATTGAGCAAACAACATTTTTACCGATTGTTAAATAAATAAAGTTCGTCAACATATTTCGTACGTCCCACAGAGTTTTGAGAGCCAGATTTTATTTTTTTATGATATTAGCATAGGTAATATCAAAAGCACCTGTTTATAATTTTATTATAGCTTGAATTTGGAAAATTGCTACTATGAAATCGGACCATCGACATCATTCGATTAAGTGACAATGAGATACTTTTTAATCAACATGTAATGTGAATTCATATGAGTTCTTATTCAAAATAAAAAATACAGTTAATTAAGGAAAATGCTGACACATTTACCGAAAGAAGAAATTCTGGAATTATTTGGTAGAAAATTGTTTCGGAAAATGTTCCGACATTCAATTAAGAACGATGAGTAATTTCAACTTGATTGTAAAAGGAATAAGTTAGTCCTTACATTGAATTAATTATTCACCAAAAAATAACATTTTCAATGGCATTGATAAGATTTTGACATGAAAATTTTACACAAAGTAACCACAACTACAAATTTTTAGTTGCAAAAATTGGTAAACTTACCATATATAAGCTTTCGATTAAAGCGCTCGTTAATAATAATAACCGCACCAAACAGCGTTCCTTCGCCTTGGTGGTTTATTGAAAATAATATTATTGTTGTTGTTGAACATACTGTATCAGTTAATCAAATGAAAAAATAAGTGAAGAAAACTTCTTATTCTGATACAAATTTAACATGATTTTATTTATAAAATGCTAACGTTTTCGGAAACAATGTTTCCATCATCAGGCGAGCTATAAAATTGAAATCTGAACGAAAATTATGTAATATGTTTACTACAATTAGAAAATTTAGTTGATGTTTAAAATATGAAAAAAAATAGAAAAGAGGAAAATAATCATGGTTACATTGATGACAATATTAAGTAATGGTATTTAAATTCAAATAAAACATAGATCCGATGAAAGTAGGCGCCCGATTCACATATTGAATATGTCATCAGTTGTAGTTGGTGATGTTAATTTGTACAGAGAAGTTTGTACTTGCGTATTTTGGATGTTCATGTTATGAGCCATTGTTTTATGAATAAAAATGTTTTCCCGTGCATCCAGATAACGTGGTGCATTGACTTCTTTAAGAAGTCGAAAACCCGCAAATTCCTGGTTATTTTCGAGCATATGATCAGCTGGTGTTGATTTGCCGAATTGTTTTTTATGAAATGGTGTATAATGTTCAGAATATCGTTTGAAAATCGCTCTACAACACTGACCGATGTAAAATTTACCACAATTTTAACAAAGAGTTGCATAGATGCCCGATTTATTCAACTCTTCAATTTTATCCTTGGTGCTTCCAAAATGGGTTTGGTTAAATGATGATGGAATGCTTTCTAAAAATTCTACCAAAGATTGTTGTCAAACCATTCACAAAATAATATAATTAAATAAATATAATATAATACAATTTGATTTTTATCAAGCATTTTTGAGAGAGATAATGAAAAATTATTGTTTCTTTCCTTTCATGTAAATAATATTAATTTCATAAAATAATTTTCCAACTGCTAAAAATGTCTATAATCCATTTTGAAATATTTTGTATTTATCTGTTTTGCTTTAAATAATTTTCTATTCTCAGTCTGAATGTTGATAAGCAGCCATCGAATTTACGTAAAACCATTGCTGTAAGATGAGAATTTGTGAAATTGACTGTTATGGTGAAAATATAAATTTCTTTAAGAATGACATTTTCCACTTTTTATGTCAATATACATTTGATTTGGTAAGCAACGAAATCACCACCTTATTCAAATGAATCACAAAGTTTTATCGACCGTATAAAAAGATGGCTTATACTGTCATTGTTATTGAGACGCTGACGGAATCAAGATTTTTTTAAATGTATGTTCATGATAAACCTTACAGCGCTAGAAATCAATACACAAAAATGATTTTCATTTTAGACATGTTCATTTGCTTGACTATTAACTATTGCGCGTCTTCGTAATTTTAAGAACGTCATTTATTTGGAACGTTAATTTTACTGAAAAAAAACCATTTTTACTGTATAATTTAAATCATTTTGAGCTTCGTTTTGAGCTCATTCATGTCTCAATAATCAATAAACAACATCGCAATTTTAAAACCTTCAGAATAGAAAATTCGTTGAAATTCATATATTGGTAGATATTTGATATATGTAGATATTTTATACTTGAATTTGCTCAACATTGCAATAAAATGGTAAAATTTAAATCTATAGTTTCACTTGTCCTGTTTGTTGATATACTTATCCCATTTTAAATGGGCGATTTATAATTGCTGAATGTTTGATTGGCCATACAGTTTCACGTGTATGTTGTTTGGAACCATTGACTGTGAACCATCCTTAAAACGCATTAATATAATTCTACATATAAATGGGAAAAATACAATATGAGAATAGAACTAAATAAATTATTCAAATAATTCAAATGGTCTCGAATTGAATCCGCTTTGATCCTTAGTTCAATAGACACGATTCATAAGTTGGGCACATATATCTGTAAAGATGTTGTGTACGATTATTTGTGAATAGAAAATGTCTATATAAACTATTATGTGATGATGTATGTATAAAATTACTTTATGTTGATAAATGCATCTTCACCGCCATGCCGTTCTAGCACCTGCAATGTTTCTTCCACAAGTACACTCAAATTACAGCTTTTTTTCTGCGAATAATCGACTTTGTCGTCGCAAGTGGCTACTCCATAATAAAAATAAAGAAGCGATAATAAAATCATATATATATTAGAGTGGGTCAATTTGTAGGGGGCCGAAAAATGAAAATGTTTTTTCCAGATAACCTCCGGGCCTATTTTCACCAAAAGTAAGGGTCAAATACATTTGGGGTCAAATACTATGAGACTATGGGGTATTTTGTGAAAATTGTCTTGGAGGGCATCTGGAAAAAACACTATCCAAAAGTTTTTTGACATGCTGAAGCCGAATTTTTGGGTTTCATGTCAAAAGAATCAGGGGTTGAGCGGTTATGACCCCTGACCCCCTAGGGGGTAGGAGGAGTTGGAGTGCAGCTGACCCAAAAAATTTCTCTCATCATTCTGAACAAGTTTCTAGAACATAATTTTTTGATCTGATGATAAAATCGACATCAACAAAAAAAAAAATTGTAAAAAAGAAGTAAACGACCATTTTTGTCAGTTTTTGTATGGAAATCGTATCAAAACGTTATTATGTCGCAAAATAAATGTCAAAAATGGATTTATGGACCCCAAAAACTCCCACATACATATTTGGCTAGAGAAAAAATAATGTTTTTTTGCCTTTTTAATGCAATATCTAAATCGATTTTTAAATATTTAAATTAAATTCTTGTTATGACCCATAGAACCAAAATCGCTATGAGCCTTTGATGCAAAAAATTGACCCATATATGTGGGTGTGCATTTAAAATGTTGGTAAAATGGACTTTTCATGTAATCCACACATCACAGCAGCAGCACATTATGAACATAGTTTTTAAAATTAATTTTTACCTTCGAATGTTTTGTATGCATTAAACATGGGCAACAATTGTCGATAAAATGGTACAAGACCGGGTCCCACGAGATCAGATGCCATTACCATTTGTTGGATAATTTTCAGTGTTACACACATGACTTCTTTATTGTTTGTATTTAGAGCGCCTGGAATGTGCAAACACACAAAAAAAATGAACGATAAAACCATAAAAGCGGCAGCAGAAAGAGCCGAGATGAAGAAAATGCCAAATAATTGTCGGCAAGGCAAAAAGGTCATAATCTATAATTTTCATGTATACGGTGATGCAAATATGTTGTACATTTTCATAGCATCGCATACGTACGTTTAATTGGTACAATCAATTGCGGTATACAATTATATATTTTATCACGACCGAAATTAATTAGGTCACGAACACCTTGCTGTGCATATGTTTTATAGGGATGTTCTGACTCCGATAGACCATCAAAAAATAATGGCAAATAAAGATGATAATTCAATTTATTCAAATCCATTGTCCATAATATTCTTGCACCGCCGCTGAAATATTCCAATCTCAATGGCAAGTCACCGCGTTCATAATGCATACGAAATGATGTGCGTCGTGGTTTTTTCGTCAGTTTACGGTTTCGATTAAATACACTGTATGGCATCACTTTCGTGTTTTTCTGAAGGCTTTGAATTGAAAATGGTGGCACAAGACGTGGTGATTGGTTTTTCAGCAGTTCCTGTGTTTTTAATGACTGCTTTTTCGCCTGATCCACGCTACATCCACCTTTTGTAGACATTTTGTTCAATCTCACGTTGCACACACTTTTCTCACACTATTCCGAATACTATTCCACTTGGATCGTTCTATCAAAACAAATAAATTTTACGTTGCAATTGCTTCAATGTTATACGAAATATTTTCTGTTGTATAAAAAAAATTAAGTACTGATTACTTTGATGTGTTTTTTTCTCTCTTATTTTGAACGTGTTTCGGTATTTTTTTTTTGCTTCTATTTAAAAAAAAATGTTTTATCAACATTTTATCACTCAGCCAACAATTCCATAGCTTTGTAGAGCGATGTTTTCCAATCACTTGCATACAATACGAAGTTTTTCATGTTTCTATGGTTACTATGCGATTAAAAGGAATCCAATCACCTGTTTCTTTTTTCTCTTTTACGCTTGTTATAGAGTGAATCATTTGTTTATTAACAACTAACAACGATCAAGCCATTTTCTTTGAGCGCATTGCTAGCAGGGAAATACTTACTTTTTTCATGCATTCTCTCTTGGGTACAATGTAGATTAAAACGCAATTTCATTTTCAGTTTTTAATCGATTTTATGATATATTTTTTTCTTCTTTTTTGTTTTTATTAAGTAAATTCAAATCCTTTAGCAATTTTAAATGAAAATATTTGGTTTTAAAAACACTTGGTTTTCTTTAAATCACAAATTGGAATCATCGAGCTCATTGAGACGTTTTCATGTGCATTGGTGTAAAAGCCATCAATTATTAGCTGATTGTTGACATATTTCAACCGCGGAAGAAATGTGTGCGTTTGTCGTCAAAGCCAACGGATCGTAATGTTTTCTCGCATAGTTGGTTAAACGGTAGTGGTCCGCATACGAAACAAAATTCCGAATAAAATTTTGAATCCAATTTCAAAAGGCTAGCTGCTAACTCTTCTGACATTCGTCCGATGTCGCCGTGCCAATCTTCATCATCATTCGGTTCCGATAAAACATACCGAACTTGAAACCTGCATTCCAACCCCGAAATAAACAAACATATAAGCAAATATTTTGAAAGAGAAGTAAATGACCAACGATAATTTGGATAATTAATATACATTTCTGGATGTAATTTACCTATTATTTTTATCGGTCAATAAATCTAAATTGCTTCTACACCAAATGTCGTCCGTTGTTTTGTTGAAATATAACATACTTATCGATTCACTGCGGTACAGAAGAACATAATTTGCGCACATAAATAAGTTAATATTCATATTTTTGATTGGTTGTTGTCATAGTTTATGAAGCAAAAGTGGCGCGTACAACAAATTATTAAACCTCCTATCTGTCCTGAGGACTTAATTCAAGATTGCTATCTACATTTCGTACACCACCACGTTGTAATACGATATTTTTCGATGTCGATGAACACAAAAATTCTTACCAGTAAAGTACCCAAAGTGTGAATAAAAGTTTTTGACGGCACCTATACAGATCGACATAAAGTGCCGAAAAACTAACTTTCTTTGGCTGTACAAATTCTGGTTCAAAAAGCTTTTTGATTTGCATTTGTCAAATGACATTTGAGTTAAAATTGTAATATCGATGAATTAATTGAATCGTTGCGGCGAAACAGTAGCTCTTATTTTTCTCCAAATAATACTGCAACATAAAGTTTTTTATGAATAGTTTATTTGTTGTATTACAAACTTTATGTTGCAGTATTATTTGGAGAAAAATAAGAGCTACTGTTTCGCCGCAACGATTCAATTCATAATAAAAATTTCGAAAACCCCACCACACTTCAGAACTTTTTATTATTGCTTGATATTTACTTACACTCTGTTACTCCTACGTTCCAGCAGATAATCGATGATTGCTAGCATTGGCGTTATGCCACTGCCGGCCGCTAAAATTGCAATCCGCGTGAATTCTTTGACTTGGTTTAACTTAAAATTGCCTTTTGCATATGATATTTCTAAATCATGTGCCAATGGTAAATTATTGGTTAAATGTGTAGTTAAAGCACCATTAACATACGTCTTAATCAATAAATATAGATAAAAACTTGGATCGGCCTCTGGTTTATTACAGCTAATTGGTGCATATGTTTTTGGTACTGGTGTATAACTACGTGTAATATTGGTGCCTGTGGTAAAATTTTGGAAAAATGGTTAGAAAAATTCGAAACGGAAAAATTGGCCCTGAATGAAACGGAAAAGCCAACAGGGTAATTACCTTCTACGTTTGCGGTGACGCTGATATGATGACCGATTGGGAGGATTTGTATGAGAGATTGTTTTGGCTGCAAGACTAAAGCATAAGAATCGTGTGTGATTTGTACTCGTTCAATGACATTATACAGATATGTGCAATTGCTTAAATCGGTGAGTTTTTGTCGTGTCATTAGACCGAAATTTGTCCATAGAGCAGGCACGTTTTTTTGAAAGATGCATTCAATTTTTCCAGTTTCATAGTTGATTTTCGTTGCCAATGGTGGAAATGCCACTTGATCGGCCAATTGAAATTGATTTATGTGCATCGTTTGCTCGATTTGGATGCCTATTTCAAATTTCGATTGCGGCGACTGCGTTATGCAACGAATCAACAGTGCTGGATTACAAAATGCTTTCGTATAGAAAACCAATGACAGTTCGTTGGTTTTTTGAATCCAATCGAATCGCGGCACAATTTCGATGGGCATGGTACTTAAGCTGCTTTCAGTTGACTGCGATTGTGTATCATCGTTGCTCTTGGCTGTTGTTGGTGATTTATTGTTGCTGCCGCTGCTAACCGTATTCAATATAGGCAAGAATGGTGCCTTAAAGCAGCCATTTGGTGTTGTTGAGCTTGCTAATTGATTGATACTCTTCGCCCGTGAACTATTTCCACTCACATCCAAATTAATGGTCAATGTGGTGCGCAATGGACCAACAAAACATTTACACAAAAGCTGCTCATAATTCACCCATGCATGAACATCATCAAATAGTTTTGTTGCATCCTTTCCAGCGCCTTTCATTAGCTCATCAACACCTAATGAAGTAAATACCAGGAATGACAATAGTTTAAAAAATAAAAATCGTAAAAAAACCAGCGGAGACAAACAGAAACAACAACAAAATTGTAGCTCTGTTTATTCTGATATCGAATGGGGGAAAGAAATTTAAAAAAAATCACGCGTTGTGTCTTCTTTCTCAATCGACGAGTTCGCTATTGCTATTGTTACATTATTTAATTTTCGTTGTATTTGTCTATTTTATCGTAAAAAAGAAAGATTTTTCCAGAATCAAAATTATCTTTATCTAGGTCGCTCGCAGATTTACATCTCTGTCACTTATATTAAAGAATTTATCTCTGCTTTTTTTCTTCTACTCTTGACCTCTTTATTCTTTATTTCAGTTCATGTGAATTCGTTAACGTGTGCAATATTTCCAAATCAATCGTCAATTTTCGATAAAAGGTCGAATGGAACTTTCGCTACACTCGCACATATATGCGATATCTTTTTGTTGTATGTATCTGATGTGATGTTTGTAAAAAAGTTACTCACCACCCGGATGGAAATCCATGTATTTTGTAACATTATACACCTTGCCACGTATAGCAAGCCAACAATCGTCGTTTTTATTGTGTTTGGCCAATTCTTCGTAGCTAATCGCTCGGATGACGCCTTTCGTTCCAGCTAAATCGTAATTTGAATTTCCCAATCGTACCCAGTCCATAAGCGAGTGTCCGGGCTGCAGTGCACATTTATTTCGAGGATTACCTAGAGTTGATCAGAAGAAAAGAATCGAAACAATGGAAATTAATCAATAAGTATTAGAACAGAATGGAAAATGAAATTATAAAAGAAAGTATATAGTTTAAGCGCAAAATCAATGACCACAACATTGCTTTAATTTGAGATTTGGTAGTAGTAGTAGTAGTAGTGTTGAGATCGTTGAACACTGTGAAAAGAGAAAAAAATGCCATTAATATGCTTAATATGGAATAGTACTGTCTATCAATCAGAAAAAAAGACAAGAAACACAAAATAAGTCACCATTAATTAATAAATCAATATCAGTCTGAAATGAATGAAACTAAAATAATAATTGATGTAATTGCAAACGATACTTACTCATACAGCGTAAATTACTCGTAGGCGGAGTAAACTACGGGAGACGGCCGAGAAGAAAATTCATTTAATTTGTTCCGGGAAGAATACGATTGTGGACAGGTTCGTAGTTGGGGAAAACTAGAAAACTGATCGATACAAATTCGATACGATAGAATTAATCTTCACAATGAATAAAATGCGATTCCGAAATAAAAAAACACACTTACTGATACTTTGTATTCATATTTTCCGGGTTCTGACATCGTTTGGTCGGTTTTTGAACGATTCCCAGTGTAAGAACTAAAAATGCTAGGGGGCAGACACGTGGAATAGGATTAGACTTTTAGTGTAAAGATTCGAGAAATTGCAATGAAATAGCAACGAAATAGCAACGCCTGTGAATGGATTCGCGTGGAATAGCGAAACAGTGGATGGAATAGCAAAAATTGTTTCACTTCAAATCCATTTGACATTTCTTTTGACGTTTATTGATGGATTAGTGGAATAGTGCGGAATAGCAGAATTAACATTTTTGACGGAAACAGTGCATGGAATAGGAAAAATAGTTTCGATTCCACATTTGTGTTTTTGGATTAGTGGAATAGCTGGATTAGTAATTTATATAGTGGATTCGGAATTTATTCTTGGTGTCTCCCCCCTAGTGAAAATGTGTCCATATTCTTCTTCGTCATTCGATGTGTCCGATTTGTTGTTCCTGCCAATGAATGAATGTTGAAAACAAAAAAATCTAAAAAAAACATTCAATTGCATATCGAAGTCAAAGTAGGCTTTGAAAAATCATAAGAAACTGCGTCGCATTAATGGCTAAAGGTACCCGTAATCCAATGTGCGCAATGATGAAATTCATGATTGAACATGATTTTGTATTGTGTTCAATATGTTTCTCTCTATCTCAATCTCATTCTACGATGCAGTCATTTTTTTTTTTTTTTTTCAAAAATTCTGTACTAATACTTACCAAACACTTTTTGGAAAACCGATAAAAATCCAATTCGACAGAATATTTCACTTTCAATGTAAAATGAAAATTTATGCGCAGCAATTTTAGTTCTTACACTGGGAATGGTTCGACACGATGTGACTTGTTGCCGGCTTGTTTGTTTGAAATGTCTAAGTCAAATACACTCACAACACATTCAAATCGGTTTTTCGTTGAACAGCGAATGCGTTGGCCGATATTGAACAGCGAATGCGTTGGCTACTATGCAAAATATGACAATTACCTTTTGTTGTTGTTACTGGTGTCGTATGTCCGTACATTCGCAGTACAATGTTGTCGCTGTGACGGTGCTCTGATACTGTTGTGTGAACGTACAACATATTGACTACTACCAAATCTCAAATATTTGTTAGCAATTTGCGTTATTTGCTGTTGCGAATTTTTGTTTGTGTTTGTGGTCAAACTATATAGTTTCTTATAATAGAATTAATGTGAATGATGATAATGGGACAGAATGGAAAATGAATCGAAGGATTACCTTTTTTTAATTGAAAACGGAAACCAATCATAGCATTAATAATGTATTTGAGCGATTTCCATAAATTATAATAAATGAATACGATACAAAATCATTTTGAATTTCAATATTTCAAATGATTCGTCTATAAACTAGATTAAATTCGAAATCAATAAAGCTTATATATCGAAGTGATGGCTTTTAATAAACTTATTTCAGATTGAATTGGCCAATATATTAGATATATATTGTGCAACTCTATGTCTGCACAAAGTCAACATGGCCGAGCCACAAATTCCCAACACGTTCCATTTTGACAACGGCATAGACTCTCTTGAGTTGATGGAGAATAAAAAAATATGATAATAATATTAAACGCACAGACAGAAAGTTATAGTACAACGATGGTTTTGATTGAAATTTTGCCTTGGGGTTATAAATTGCAAACAAATTTGGCAAATCTATTTTCGATTTCCTCGCTCCATTCCGGTGTTGGAATTTTGAATGCTTTTCATTAGACACCCAATGAATACCATCACCGTTTAATCGTGTGAATAATTTATTTGGGCAGATCTACTTTGTTAGACAAATGCAATCATTCATAAATGATAAACAAAAAGTAGTTCAATCGAAAAAGAGATAAATGCGAATGGTGGCAGAAATAAAACGCTTCAATTTGTATTTAATGAGTTTGCTAGCCGATACGTAGGTTGCTCCATAATTTTTTTTAAAATGGTACTTATAGTGTTGCCCGATGTAAACCATTGTCATATTCGTAAAGTTTGATGTTTTGGTATGTATTCGTGCCCTGAACCTTTTGTCGTACGAACGCTATTTGTATTGTTTACAGTGACTGGTAAACTGCGACTCAACAAAAAAATGAATTTTACACGTGAAGATTTTCGTAAAATGATTTACTACGATTTTCGAAGTAAATTATCTCAACAACAGTGTTTCGATCGACTTCATTTGGCCTTTGGCAATGAAGCACCAACCCTTCAGACAATTTATAACTGGTACCGAGAATTCCGTTGCGGTCGTAGTTCGCTCAAAGACGAGTTTCATACAGGTCGTCCAAAATCGGCTGTTGTGCCACAAAACATCGATGCTGTCAGAAAACTGATTATGGAAGATCGTCATGTGACCTACCGTGAGATTGAGGCATCTTTGGGCATTTCATCCCACAGCATACATACAATTTTGCATGAACATTTAGCCGTAAAAAAGATTTGCTCTCGTTGGATCCCACATAAATTGACCGATGAACAAAAAATGGCTCGTGTGAGTTGGTGTAAAGAAATGCTCAAGAAATTCAATCGTGGTGCTTCAAAAGACGTTAATAAAATCGTCACTGGTGACGAATCGTGGATATATGCCTATGAGCCCGAAACGAAACAGCAGTCGACTGTATGGGTCTTCCAAAATGAAGATAACCCAACGAAAGTTGTTCGAGCAAGAAGCACTTCGAAGCGAATGGTCGCCTGTTTTTTCGGGAGAAGTGGTCATGTGGCAACCGTTCCACTAGAGGATCGTAAGACCGTCAATTCTGATTGGTATACCACCATTTGTTTGCCCGAAGTGTTTGGTGAAATAAGAAAAAACAACCACCGTCGCAAAATAATTCTTCATCACGATAATGCGAGCTCTCACACATCTTTTCAAACTACTCGATTTTTGACCGGTCAAAACATCGAACTGATGGGTCATCCACCGTACAGTCCTGACCTGGCACCCAATGACTTTTTTTTGTTCCCAAGCGTGAAGAAAAAACTACGTGGTCAACGATTTTCGACACCAGAAGAAGCAGTTGAAGCGTTCAAAACACACGTTTTGGAGATATCAGTTTCGGAGTGGCACGAATGCTATGACAAATGGTTTCATCGAATGCAAAAGTGTATCGATCATCTCGGGGAATATTTTGAAAAACAATAAAACCATTTTCGACAAAAAACAACTGTGTTATATATGTTTTTAAAAAAAATTATGGAGCAACCCTCGTATTATGAGATCTGATGGCAATCGTTTTTTTCCCTCGTTTTCTCATCTTTCCGAATTTGAGATGGGGCAAGGATAAACCTAAATCAATTCGAAATGTTATTGACATCGGTTCAAAAGGGAGTATTACGATTGAACGCATCTCGATAATTTGTTTCTTTTTTCTATGCCTGCTCTTCAGTAGCATCCACATTGGTTGCTTTAAAAAAAGTAAAATAAATTAAAATATCAAAATAGAAACAAACACATACTTTTTTCGAAATGTTCGGTTGAATTGTCGTCGATCGATTTGACCATTGCGACCACATTGGAAATAAGTGGTGGTGAATTAACACCACTTCCATACTCATCATCAGATGATGATGCATTTACTCGACTTGAAATCGATGAACGTTTGTTATTTCGACGTTTTCGCCAACATAGCAACATTATAACAAACGAAGTGTTGATTCGCTTAAGTAAATATTTTTACCACCACCGGACTAATTGTCTGTGTTTTTTCTTCTTAATTTTATCGTTTACGTTTTAAAATGTTTTAGTTGTCGTCTTTATCTCTTTGCCCGTAACATATTTAAAGTAAAATCAAATGACATCCGCAAATTCTTGATGCATGTGTGCGTGTGTTTGTATGTGTGCTTCCATTGAATTTGTCACTTTTGAATTCAGCAAAAGACAATTGTTTTAATTGAATTGTTAAAGTTTTCATTTGTCATAATTGCCATGCTATAGGAGTTTTGTGAGCAAATGAAACAAACACGAAACAATTTTTCCAAAATTATTGAAAATCCAAAACATTTTAAGCGATTACTTAAGTTTTTACAAAAAAAAAAAAAAAAAACTTTCGATGTTATGATTTAGTTCAGTCGTTGTAAAATTGTTTTGTTTTCTCATTCTTACGTCCCCTTCCATTGGCAAAATAATAAACTTGGTGGTAAAGGATTGACAATATTGTTATCATTTTTCGCCGGGTTGAATGTAAATTTTAACAAGATATCCAAACAATTCCATTTTCTCCATGTTCTTAATTTTTAATGCTCGCAAATCATATGACATTTGTATACTCCTCTAACTTTACCAAAAACACTCGGTTACTACTACATCGTCGCACCAATAACATAATAAAATACAAAAATAAAACATTTTCCCACGAAATACGGTCATATTTTAGATCATCCAAGCATTTATCAATGTCGTTGTCGCCATATAAAACACATTGCATGAATAAAATAGACAGCAATCACTTTGCACACAAAACATCCCATTTTTGGGGGCAGCGCATCGATTTTCATTGTTTAGTATTGTATGCCGATTTCAATATTAATTTATTATTACTTCCGTAAGACGAGGGGGTTGGTGAGGCACAATTTTCATTCATTTTTTTATGTCAATATCAGACCATCACACTTGTCTACATCCATAATGAATCGAATTTAATAGATGCTACTGTTCGGTGTTTTATGGTATAAATAAATTAAATAAAAAGCTCGCGCGCAAATCTAAATACAACCATCACCAAAAGATACTATTTGAATTTAATTAACAACATTTTATAAATAGTGACTCGGATAATTTGTTACAATTTTTAAATGCACTATACAATCTCATTTTCAATACGAAGAAGAGAACGAAAAAAAGTGTGTACAAAATCAAAACACTATGACGATAAATCGGTACGATGGCGTGTTACGAATGCGATAGCGTGTATGAGCGAGGCCAAAGAATAACACGATGTCTACAGCTAAACGTTTCGATCATAACTGACGAAAGTGCTAACGAAAGCACTTCCATCGTGCCGTTATACGTTTTACCAGTGATGTTAGCTGGCGAATTGCAAAACAAAACCAACGTATGTTGTTTGAGCATACAATGCCAATGTGAGATAGAGTTTCAATGTGCAATAATAATATGTAGAGAATTACGCGATATAGAGCAAAAGCATGAGCATGAATGCGGATGGCATGATACACACTCTCAATCTATGCTTCTGATAAAGATAATGCAATCCACATGGCATTCGACAATAACATAATTTAAAACATATGAAAAGACGAAAAGTTTCGTATGATATGCCGTTGCCGCCTTTGTCGTCTTTCATTCGCTTCGAATGTCGTATTAGTCGTTCCATTTCAGCTGCAAGGCAACAATTTGAAAGCATAAAAAATGGGAAAATGGAAATGTTACAGCACGGCTGGCTATGTTTTTCTTTTCTTTTTTTTTCAAATGTCTGTTTACATGGAAATTGTCCAAAGCGATGACAATATTCGTTGTCGTCGTTTGCATGTCGAAGTGATTCGATACAACTAAGACGGTATCAGTCTTGTTATTTCATTTCCGATTCCGTTCGATTGGCAGCGAATTGATTGGGTAGTCGATTTCGTGTAGAGAGATCAATCGTGAATCCTTTGTCGATAGTATCTCAAATGGATGAGCATGCAAAGTGAATTAAACTCAAATATGTATAAAAATCGAAGAGACGGTATCGAAACAACTTAAACGCTTCCTTTATGTTTCTCTAACCCACTTTACTTTTCGCATTCGCTAAATCAGATGCTTTTTTTGTGAGAATATACCATCATTAAAAATAAGTATCGGAAAAGGATCATTGGAAATGCGGAAAAATTGTTTTCCTTTTTGAGTTTATGTACAAAAGCTTTTAAACGCATTCCGTGGAATAAAAAAAAAATATTTTTTTCTCTCTTTGTCATCACCAAAATCATTACCGAACCTTTGCCAGTGGCAAAATAAATAAACAAACAACATTTATTTTTCCTCAATAAACGAATTGATTTCGTTTTTTTATAGACTAAATACAACAGAGACAACTCAAGAGAACAAAACAAATGCAATACTTCTAAATTTAATTGAAAAATGTATATGTGTTCTTTCCTTCTTCTTCTAACTTTTACATTTTGCGTCATTCCACCTTTCGCTAACTGAGTTCAATTTAAGAGCGGAAAAAGCAGTTATCTTCCATCAGAGCGGTTGTACAAGAGCAGGAAAAACTTGTTGAAATTAAAAGCATTTTGATTCCGTTGCACAACAGAGAGTGCAGGATGTCTTTCATCTTCCTTCTGTTATCATTCACAAGCACTTTTCTTTTGCTTTGGGTATCCCTAGTAGGGATTCATTGAAAACGAGATTGAAATTGTGTGAGTGTCTTAAGAAAATATGATGCCAACCATCAATCTTTGGCTTCATGCACATGATATTTTTGCTTAGCGTTGTTTTCTGATGTCAGTCGTTTAAATGCGTCACACACACACACACACACACACACACACACACACACAAAAAATGGCAGAAGAAATAATAATATATTTTCTATGCGAAGCTTTTGCATATAATTGCAAGATTTTTTTTGTATTTGCTTAACAGACGATAACAAATATCAAGTAAGGAGAAGTGCAAGAGATAAAACAGTGAATTAATAAGGGGATGAATTTGTTGTGTTCAAACATGGATTGTAGTGTTAATAATCCAACAAGACCTTTTTCCATTTCTCAAAATGGGAAAGATGTTCTTGTGAGCTTTATTTGTAACGATAGTACAAGAAAATCGACCGAAGCAAAAATAATACATAAGTATATAACCTTATTCAATAAAACATAAATTTAAAAAAAAATCTTGTAATAAAACAGGTTTTTCGAACAACAACAACAAAAAAATTGTGTGGAATAAGACAGAATGAAAAATAGTTGTTTAATGTGTTGATAAGTGCGTACCTGTTGCCGAGCCAACATTTAACGGTGTTGTTTGACATGGGGCTTTGGTTTCGTTTGTCGTTGGTGGCAAAAGTTGTTTCCGTTTTTGGGTCGGTGATGGCAATGGTGAGCGGCTGATTAAATTTTTTATTGGCTCTGCTGCGGGTAATGTTAGTTTAAATTGCGGTGATTTTTCAGCAGGTACCGATGATTTTTCGTCCATTTCGTCAAAAGCAAAATAACGAAAGAAAATCAAAGTTTGCCCTTCGTTCTAACTCCGCCAGTTTCACACCTAAATGATGAGACAGAAAATCGGTGATAATTATTAAAACAGAATATAAGCAAGCATATACGTTTCTACATCTAAGCCAAATAATATGGAAATTTTTGCAAAAACTTTGTCAACGCTAGACTGCTATTTAATATATTAATATTTATTTTGATCTCGATCAAACTTTGAATAAACTCAAAACTCATTTATTTTGTTTTCTAAACTCATCCAAACAGGTATCTAGCTTCAATTCAAATGATATAATTTTTTTTAAATGAAATTCATCAATCTGAATCTCAGTCTCATCAATTATTTCTATAAAAAAAATCAATTTCATTTCTAAAATAGCCACATCCGATGCTTGTATTCCACTCAACATAAATTTGAGGAGCACATTTTCTTCAATAACATTCAAAATGTATTTGAAAATTTTCTCCTCTCAATATGACGCAGAATACCGAATGCGGATTAAATAAATAAGAAGATTTCCATAGAAAATCCATTTAAATGTAAATAAATGAGAAATATATTAACTGATTTTTTTGCTCGCTTTTGGTCTCTCTGTCACAGTTAAATATAGAAACGAATGCATTCTTGTGTAATGATGTGCCATCTGTTGGCTATTTATTTTAACCATGAATTGTCAATGGTGTGTAATGGTATTTTTGACATGTGTTGACTAACAACGAAGAAAAAAAATGTAATTCTTAGACTGATAAACGTATTTCGTTTTAACTATAAACGAAAAGAAAAGCGAGTATAGAATGTAAAGGTGTTATAGTGAAAATAATTTTATTTGAATTCTTTGGAGGAAATGTAAAAGGGTTTGGTTAGTATGAAGAATGCCAAATCAAGATAGCAAAAAAAAAAGAAATGAAAATAATCTGACAATTTTCGAAAGAGATACGCAGTTGGCATATTGAATTTCAAGTAAACAGCAAAGAAACAGATAAACTCATTCGCAATTCAACAAATCTGAGCGTGTATTTGAAATAAGAAGCACACAGTTCAAGAGCGAGAAAAATAGAGAGAAAAACAAGCAAATTAGTAAAGCAAAACGCGACACACAAACTCATGTACTCACACGACGATAAAGTTCCAAAAGACTCAATAAGCATTTTTGAATAAAAACGATACAGAATAACGAGCAAAAGAGAAACAAAAAATTATAAAGCAAAACGCAAAAAAGTTCACCGAATGGTTTTTGATTCACCAATGTCAATTGAAAGCATACGCGGTAAGTTCCACTTATCATCAAAAAAAAAGTAAGAATAATTAATCAAATAAATTGGTAATTGAATTGAATGACGTTTGTCTATAAATTTGTCGGCCCGCGTCCGGACAAAAATAAAAAAATTAGTCGAATTCTGAAAAGAACTTATAATAAAACAAAGTAAATATTTGAACTATATGAGGTTGATATCTGCTTATATCACAATGTTTTTTACAAATGCTAAACAAAGCCATTCCAAAGCATGAAAAAATAAAAATAAATAAATATTGACATTGGAATTGAGATTTGAACTCAAATTAGAATAAAATGTCAACGATTGATACAAACAATTGAGATGAACTATTCACATTTATTCATTGTTGCCGATGTGAATTTTCATCAACAAACAAGAAACAAAAACTACGCTTTCATTTTCGTGAGTGGGTACTGTGAATAGTCAATTGAATGCTTTTAATTAATTGTGCATTTTTGAATGAGTGTGCAATTGAAATCCAATGACAAAGTGCAAACAACAACAACAACAAAACAGTTTATGTTTCGATATTTAATTGTTTTGTCGACCAATGTACAGATCTCTGTTTGCCTTCTTTATCGTTTAAACAATTAGTCGTGAATTATTATCCAGTGGCATGTGTTCACTTTTATATGCCGTGTGCACTCTGCCTAGCAGCACAGGAACTTTCATCATATGTGTGTACGGAAATTTTCAGAATTGTTTATAAAAATTTATCTACAATACAAAAAAAAACGCACACACATCGAAAAAGAAATAAATTAATCATCGGACGGTAATTTGTAAAATTCGGACACGATAATGTACATGCTCATGTACAGAAAATTGACGCTACGATGGCCTAAGAACATATTTTATTCATGTGATACACTGAACAAATAATAATTTTGTTGTTGTTGTTTCATCGATAAAAAGTCAGCACAATAATTGGTTAAGGTACCTTTCATTAAGCTAAATTCGATTCGTTTGTTGTGTACATTTGTTGTTCTTGGTCAGTGTTTTCGTTGAAATTGAGCATTTCCATTTTAATATATAATGCGATTAAAACGGATATATTCGTTAGTTTGTTATGCTGGCGCACGAAATAGATCAGCATTATAAGCGAATAATATCAATTATAGTAACTGTATCAGCCCAGCCGCAACGACAAACAAACTGAATCATAAGAGACACATGAGCAATCAACCAAACTCAAATAGAGAATGAATGTAATAAAATTCATTTATTTCACACTCTCGTGTTGTGGAGTTTTTAGTTCGTCTTTGATAATTTGAATTACACGTTGCCGGATAGAAGACACACCACGATAAGCCGCCTGCCAAAGCAGAATAACGTGTTTCTTTTTGAAAGTTTCTCTTCTTTTTTCTTCTTTAATTTTATCATCTTAAATGTATTTCTTTTTGAATGCTATTTTTAATCAACAAAATAACACGGATCGCTGAACTAATCGCCATTTTCTATTTTCAGATAGAACTTTATAACGTGACAAATCGCTATCGACAACACAATGTTAAATTAGCACAAAGAGTTGGCACGAATCAGATACACATATACGTAGAAAAGTGGCGATTCAACGTCGAACAATCATTGGAAAATCGGTATTGTCAGTGTTTCAAGTGCAATCGCATAAAAAGCAGAAATCATTGCGATTCAGTAACTTCTGGCCATTGAATATTCAACGGTCGTTGTTATCATCAATATCATCGTCGCATCGCGCACATAATGCACTCGAAAAATTTCGAAAATATTTACATAAGTTAATGATCACAGTGCGACGACCGTCATTCGAACAATATTTTAAACGAATTTTTCGTGATACCAAACAAAATTTACGAAAATTAATCATGGCCACAAAGCAACAAATTGGATTAAATGCCAATCAGAAAGAAACGATCAATGTACAAAAATCGTCAATTTTTTTGGTCGCACTGAATTTATTTCATCGATTCTTTTGCCTGTGCGTTCGTTTTGTGCTGATCAAAGTGCACGGTGAACATGGACCATCAATGCCTCCAATAGACGATCTCCTCCTACTCGAATCAGCCACATCAATTGCTGAAAAGATACGCACTAAAAAAGTAAATACAATTTTTACAATCAATCTGCGTTCGCTTTGCAATTATTTGCACTAACTTATTATTGTTTTAATTTATGATAATATTTTGTATATTAGCATATCTGATTATGAGCTCATTCTCTTTGCATTTCATTCGATCATTTTCAGATAACATCGACACAAGTATTAAATACGTTCATTAAACGAATCAATAAAATTAATCCATTGCTGAATTGTGTTGTTGATGAGCGTTTTGATGATGCACTACAAGAGGCTGCCAAAGTGGATGAGCTTATTGCATCAGATCAATACACTGCCGAACAGCTCAGGGAACAAAAACCATTCCTAGGAGTACCAATATCGACGAAAGATTGTATTGCCGTTAAAGATATGTTAAACACTGGTGGTTTATGGCTAAGACGGGATACACGCGGCACTGAAGACGCTGATGCCATTCGATTGATACGTGAAGCAGGTGCCATACCATTTGCATTGACAAATGTTTCGGAAGTATGCATGTGGTAAGTGAACGAAACATTTTCTCTCCAATCTTATGTGTTCAATTTTCTCAGAGAATTTGAGTAATCATTCTTAATCAATTGACAACTCTTGCAATTCATTCACATCAATTTTTGTTGTTTTTCCTTCTTCAAATTTTAGGTGGGAAAGTTCAAATCCAGTTCATGGTCGAACTCGAAATCCCTATGATACAAATCGAATTGTGGGTGGTTCAAGTGGTGGTGAAGGCTGTATATTGGTAAAATTAAAATTATCAAAAGAAATAAAATAAAAAATTAAAACTCTTAATCTCGTTCTTTGTGGTAATATAGGGTGCAGCTGGTTCGCCATTTGGAATCGGTTCAGACATCGGTGGAAGTATTCGTATGCCAGCATTTTTTAATGGTGTATTTGGACATAAGCCATCGCCGTTTATTGTATCGAACAAAGGTCAATTTCCATTTCCAACGAGCAAAGAGCAATTATCATTTTTGGGCATTGGTCCAATGAGCCGGTTTGCGTGCGATTTAAAACCAATGTTAAAAATCATTGCCGGAAATAATGCGGACCAATTGAATTTGGATGTGCCAGTGAATTTATCGAGCTTAAAATATTACTATCAGGAAAATGATGGTGGTTCGTATTTTGTTTCGCCAATCGATTACGATCTTCGTGTGATCATGGACAAAGTAATTCGTCATTTACAAATTGCATTCAAAGCGAAACCACAACGTGTTAAATTGTCAAAACTAAAAGATTCGACTACGATTTGGTTGGCAAATATGAAAGACGAAAATGAAATCGGTTTCGACGCACAATTGGCCAATTTAAATGGACGAATTAATCCATATTTGGAAATGTTTAAATGGTTATTCGGTGTATCAAAGCATACCTTCATTGCAATTATGACGGCCATAACAGATCGAATGGGCGTTAAATACGGCACACCAGAGTATCATTTGAAAGTTAAGGAACGTGATGATTTACGGCATGAATTTGAAGAAATGTTGGGCACAAATGGTGTTCTCATATATCCAACACATCCAACCGTTGCACCGTATCACAACGAACCAATTGTAAAAGCATTTAATTTCAGCTATACGGGAATCATTAATGTTCTTGGCCTACCATCGACAGCCGTACCACTTGGACTTGGCACCAAAGAAGGTCTACCAATAGGATTGCAAATTATTGCAAATCGTAATCAGGATCGTCTCTGTTTGGCCGTTGCCAGTGAGTTGGAGCGTGCATTTGGCGGATGGGTTGCACCAAAAATCATTGCCTGAATTTTGTTACCACACACCTTATCTTCTTTTTTCTTCTTTTTTACGAAACAAATATATTAGGTTTAAGATGATTTTCAGAGAACATTATATATTTAGATAAATATGTAAAATATACAATTTGATTCGTTTGACATTCGTTGATTGTTGAGTGAAATCTATTTTCATATACAAAATATTCCAGATTTAGACAGAAAAAAATCAAAACAAAATAAAAAATTATAAAATATAACATTTGTGGCTGTTTTTTGGTTTCGATATATATTTTTTTTTTACTAAGCAAATCTCTTTATGCACATATGGATTGAAAGAAAGTCAATTTGTAAATTGTATATTTAATCATTAAGTGATATCAATGAAATTACATGTTATTTAGCAGAGATGTTTCTCTATTTCTCTGGTACGTTCAGAAGATGGAGCAAGAGAAAGAGAAAAGTGATCGCTAGAGATAAATGTTAAATCGTATATTTTTTATCTATAGATATTAATAATTATGAATTTCATTCGTTATGAATAAATATTTTATGTTTGTGAGCAGAGCCAATGAATGTATTTTCTTTTAAACAAAACTATAATTGCATTAATATTCTGGACATTGTGTCGTTTCATTTTATTCGATAAAATGTGTGTTGATTTGATAAAAACGATTTATTTTATTTTATTATTATTTTGTATGTGTTTTTTTAATACATTTTGATCGTATACATATAATTTTGTGACTGTTTATAATTTGCCGCCAAGCTTTTGAATCAAATTCAGCAGATCTTGTCGTTTTTGTCGAATTTTTTGATTGGTAATTTTGGTTGGATTCTCATCAGCTGCCGTCGATTCATCATCGTCAAGTGAATTATGTTTGAGCGCACGTCGCGCCAAACATTCGATATTATAAATTACATGAATGCCACAATCATAACTGTTATTTTGTTTAACGCATTCACCACCACGTACTTCAAATTCGGGACAATCAATTGCCTTAGCCAATTCAAAAAGAAATGGTCGGAGTGATTTCTTCAATGATGTACCAAAGTGCAGCGAATCATAGTAGTAAAATGTTGATTCCGGCCGCGAGAAAACTAACAAACTCCAATGATTACCACCAGCTTTAGCTTCATCGTTGTCATTTAGTGGAAAAAATATGAACGATTTTCCTTTGGCATTCAATGGCCCAAGAAAAATGCTCATCTCTTGTCCGGACACAAATTTCAGACATTGTACCACTTCCGGTGATATGAACAGCAAACCGCGCGTATTTTGATACACATTTTTCTCTAAATATTCCAAATAAAATGAGATGATTTGATCGTTTAGCCAGTGTGGACCCATCAGCAGGTTTACATCACTTTCGCGCAATAATGTGTTGTGAAAGTTCAATACCGTTCCATTTGAATAAGCCATCGTGTATATTTGTGTTTGTTAATGCGAAATTCCAATGCAATCAACAATCGGACTGAAATACGTTTCCTTTTTCCGTCACCCTCTTTTCTTCTCCTTCTTCAAGTGAAGGCTTGTGCACTTGTTTCGATTCTGTTGAGGAATGAATGGTTTGTGTGTCAATCAATACTGAATTCTATTTACGTTTCGCATATTTATTCTGATTACATATAATAATTTTCAGTTCTATAACATATCAATGAATCAGCATATTGATCTCAATAGCACGTTATGTCTATAGCAAAACTATTATTGTCATCTCTTTTTTTTTTACTAAAAAGCAAAACCAGGCGAACATTTCTATGTATGTGTGGTTGTGTATAATACTTCTGTGTTTGTGCTATAATACTATATAGTAGACCACAAATCTTGCGGTCGTTATTTATTTGATGCATTCACAGTATATAGTTTTTGTTTGACGGTTTTAAATAATATCATTCTAGTGTTGGGGGTGTAAAACACCATTTGGTTTATTTTTCAATTTCTAATTTAAAAAAAAGAATAAAATCAGCTTTTTTGAAAAGAACAATTTTCTAATAGCATTTATGTTTTTTAAATTGAAAAAAAAAAAGTAAAAATTCATTGTAATTTTGAAAATAAAACTGATATTTCGTTAAGCAATTGAAAAGTAAGACAAGGATTTTTATCCAACTATAAAACTTGAAGTTACATAATATGTAATGAGCACTGCGTAAATGGATGTTTTATTTGTATTGTTTACTTTGCGCTTTAGCTTTTTAGCATTACATATGCAATGGCATGGGATTTTATTGTGTGTGTCATCATTGAACAAGTTTTCAAAATGTATAATGTAGTGCTTATCTGAAGTTGTAAATGTGTGCGAATGAATTCATTTTTGTTATTTCACCATTATTTTTGAGTATTCGAATTTTGAGTATTGAAGCAGATTCATAATTTGATTAGATGATTATTGTTCACTTACCCCACATACAACCGTGTACACACAATGATATATAAAAATTTGTGCACGTGCCAATATTTTCTTTTTTATCACATAAATTATGATGCCTCTCTTTTTGATTTGCAATGTCAGGAAAAAAACACACTGCTCATGCACACACACAAACGCAAGCGAAAGAAAAAATAAATTCAACGAAAAGGACACTGCCAAAAAATGCTTATGAAAATACGGACAACGGAATTTTTTTAGGCTTTTTTCGCGCTTTAAAAGGCTATCACAAACTGTGTGTATTTTTTTTAGTTACTAAACACAAAACATTACTCGATTTGATTTGGCTGCTGTAACATGAATTAAATGAAAACGAAACTGAAATAAAAATGAACGAAGGTATTGGGTTTTATTTTGTTGTTAATTTTTAATGCTTTGGTACACCGTCGTCACTTTTCTACAACACATGTATTGAAATGTCTATATTCGTGTACATTCTCTTCCGTCACTCTCTTTCTTCCACATATTTAGTATTGTATTTTTTTGCAAAGACATGTAATCAGATGAATCAAATCTGTATTATCACATTGCAATGTCAAAATGACGATAAATGGTAAATTTGTGAGGTTAGGTTTGTTTGATATTTATTTCTTCAATTGTCAGTTGATATCATAATCAAGAACGTATTTTAAGAGCATTTGCGTCTTACATTCGAGCTGATGAAAAATGAAAACATTGTTGGTGTTTTTTTTTTTTAATTAACATCTTCGAATTCAGCTGTTAATCATTAGTCATTGAAAATTATGTCACTTGACTTTGTCTTGTTACATTAAATGCATAATCGTGCCGAACAAAAAATGAGTTCCATTACAATATTGTGTGTCGTCCGATTTATTCGAATGGAATTGTTGAACTTTTGCTCGCGCCAGATACTTAATATGCATAATACATCACATAACCTTTTGAGCATCTTTGCATGTGAGATCGAAACTTAATAATATGTATGAGTGTGAATATTTTTTTCCTGCTTAATCAGAGTTCCCGGTGTTTGTTTAATACGGACAAAAATGCGGCTGAGTTGATAGCCCTACTTCAAGTTGATTATATTCACTGATAACCTAAGAGCTGAATGTGCTGAGATGAACAAAAAAAATTGATAGGACCAAATATGTATGATGACTAAAGGCCACTATTAACCCTTACAGAAATCATTTACATCCATTAATACCAATATAATACGATCATCTTTTAACTGTGATTAGACCCACATCTACTATTAACATGCACGGACATTCTATCGATGGCTTAACCACTAATCGCTATCACAATCACTGATTAAATACATTTTGCACAATATTTATGTTTAGAGAAAACAATAATAATCTCAACAACAGATTAATGCAACAATAACATTCACTTGAGCGCAAGGAAATCACTTTTGTTATTATCATGCCTTTTATTTTCCTTTTTTTTCAATTATTTAAATTACGCTTTTACAGTGTTGCGTTTGATTCGTTCGATCAGTCGTTTAATGATAACAAGAGCGAACGTTGCCTGTACAAGGAAATTTCAAGGAGAATAAATTGCTTGTGTTACACCAAGAGTTTCAATCAGCTAATGAAAATAACAATAATAATAAATAATTGAAATCAGTTCATACTCGATTTTTTTTTCATATTTGCAAGGATTTTTATTGAATTACGAAATCAAAAACCGCATCCAAAAAAGTGAAAGTATATGCAAAGTGCAATAACATTTTTTGAAAAATAATTTTATGACGAAAAAAACAACAAAACATTTGATTGATGTGCTAGAATAGCAATTATTGAATAATTGATATTTTAAAGTGCAAAATACAAAAAAGGACAACACGATCGATCATTTACTACGTATTCGAATCGAAAATTTTACAAATTCATAATAATAAAATAGCATCGTTAAATCAAGTGTTAATTTTGATTAAAGACGAACATTGTGATTTTATAGACTTCATTTTCTTTATCTAAACAAGTTTTAATGGTGATTTTAAGTCAAACGAACATTTTCTTTGTGGCAAAGCAACAAATTTCACACGTGAAATTCCACCAATTTTTATATCGGATTATAAAACAATTGGCATTCATTTACTGTTTCATATTTATTCAATGTAAGGACATATATGATTCATTGGTTTTGTTTATGTAGACTTTTTTTATAATGAAACATGAAAAACATTGAACGAGAAAAAAAGAGAGTGTTGTTGTTTTGAAATAAAATACGTCAATTTTTCCATATAAATAGTATGAATATTATTTGAATTTATTTTGTAGATAAAATGCCATCACTTCCACAGGCCGCTTTTGCCGTATGCAAAATTCGTGAACAGAATTCAAAGAGTCAAGGAGGCACCGATGGCAGCAATTCGATTGTCTACAATCAGAAATTGTTGGAATATTTACCAGTGAAATACAATGAAAAATTCATGAATGCGATTTGGGGACATTATAATCGTTATTCACCACATAACATCAAAAGTAACGATTAAGGCATACTTTCTTAAAAATTAGTATTCCATTACTCTACAATTCCTGATCCATTCCTTCGATTCATTTTCCATTCTGTTCCATTATCATCATTCACATTAATTCTATTATAAGAAACTATATAGTTTGACCACAAACACAAACAAAAAGTCGCAACAGCAAATAACAGATTGCTAACAAATATTTGAGATTTGGTAGTAGTCAATATGTTGTACGAGCACCGTCACAGCGACAACATTGTACTGCGAATGTACGGACATACGACACCAGTAACAACAACAAAAGGTAATTGTCATATTTTGCATAGTAGCCAACGCATTCGCTGTTCAATATCGGCCACTGTCAACGAAAAACCGATTTGAATGTGTTGTGCGTGTATTTGACTGACTGGTGAGACATTTCAAACCAACAAGCCGGCAAGTTGCCTATCGTATCGAATTTGTATCGATCAGTTTTCTAGTTTTCCCCAACTACGAACCGGTACACAATCGTATTCTTCCCGGAACAAATTAAATGAATTTTCTCCTCGGCCGTCTCCCGTAGTTTACTCCGTCTACGAGTAATTTACGCTGTATGAGTAAGTATCGTTTGCAATTACATCAATTATTATTTTATTTTCATTCATTTTAGACTGATATTGATTTATTAATTAATGGTGACTTATTTTGTGTTTCTTGTCTTTTTTTCTGATTGATAGACAGTACTATTCCATATTAAGCATATTAATGGCATTTTTTTCTCTTTTCACAGTGTTCAACGATCTCAACACTACTACTACTATAATACTACTACCAAATCTCAAATTAAAGCAATGTTGTTGTGGTCATACTTTCTTTTATAATTTCATTTTCAATTCCTTTCCATTAATTTTTGAATCATTTCCATTTTTTTCATTTTTTTTTTCTGATCAACTCTAGGTAACGATGCTGCTGTTGCCATTTCGAAAAACGGGAAAGAACTGATGTTGGCCGCAAAAAAAGCCGCAGCATCGGTTCAACAACAATCTTTTTTCTAGAATCTCATATTTACAAAAATGATAGAACTTAAAAGACATTTTTTGCAGACTCTTACAGACATATACATAAATATATCTGCTGCTAAATGCACATTTAAATTTTGAAAATAAAATAAAATATCAAAATAAAAGTTGAGTTTCATCATTTTTTTGATTTACTATTAGCGAAAACAAAAACGAAACAAAAATCCAATTTAAAGATTATTTATTGTTTTAATTATCTACATTTCCGATTTATGGCGAAAAATGTGGATTTTTGTCCAAAGATGGCGTTCATTTGATACTTCAAAAACAATTCAGATCACTACAGCTGTCTCTGTCGTTTGCGACATTCTGAAACAGATTTATCCATCACATAACAATTTGGTGCCGCTAGTGATCACCATCAAAAGTAATCACACACGAAAAAAACACTCTCACTACAACACACACACACACACACACACATTCGAAGAGAATTCGAACGGGGTGAGAAAGAAAGAAAGAATAAATGCAAATTATCAAGTATCCAAGCTTAAAAATCAAAGTTGGACGAAAACAGAAGCCATAAATTACGAAATTGTGGAAATTCATTCGTTTTATCGTGTGTGTTTGTGTGCATGCTGTAAATTTTATAGTGTTTTACTTGATTTATATTCATAATAAAAGTGATGAATATTTTTTATTTGTTAAATATTTGATACAATTTTTAATGTGTTTCGCGAGTTCTTTCAAATGCTAAAAAACCCACCATGTCGTCCTGTTTTTCGTCTATCAATTCTATTCAATTTTGTGATAGTATCAAGTAATTGCAAAGGAAGGGGGGGAAATATCTCCATAACATCAGTGCAATAAAGGAAATTTTCAATTTCAACCGAAACAAAAGAAGCAAAGAGAAAAAAAACGAAACCAAAACAAATGTGGCCACTTGAATTGCTGAAAAGACAAAACAATGAGCGTGTGTGAGTACATATGTCAAAAAGTGAATATGATTGCTGAATTTGTAGATTTTTGTGGCGAATAAGTGGAATATTGCAATTATTGACAGCAACAATTCAATATTAAATAAACGTAAGTTCATATTCTCTACCATAAGATGGTTCAGGTGCATCATTCGGTCGAATAGTTATAAGTTCAGTGTTACCACCATCTTGTTTATGTTTACAATCATTGGTGAAAATTCAACAGAAATGGGAGAGAGAAATGAAGTACTACGCACACTTTTCATTTTTTTGAATTGTTTATTTTGTTTTGAATTCATTCGAGCAAATGTTGTTTGCTCTTCGCAAATTCACGTGCGGACAACAATATTAAGTAATTAATCATTTTCAGCGTTTATTTTTTTCATTTACTTTATCGCAGCGATTTTGTTTTAGTGTGAGTGAGTTTTCTGCACCTATAAAAAAAAGTTGATGCATTTTTTTTCGTTCGGTTGAATGAATTAGTCCAAATTTGAGTCCGGAAAACTCGATTCGGTGTATGAATATTGTTTGAACGATATGCGCGCTGTGTTATGATTGTATTAGTGCATTAGTTTTGGCAAATGTCGTTTGTAGGATTCGATAGCCGATTTTGTCACGTACGCCAAAAGCCATACTCGCACACGCACACACACACAAACGCATACTTACATAGTGTGTACTTGAATCGGTAGTGCATATAGATCTCTTGCTTATACCTTTTGTATATCAACTATACTTGTCATCTCACTCACTTGTCTTATTATATGTTGCATCGCTTTGCCTCCCTTTTATTCAATTCGACGAATTTACTCAACAGAATCATCGGCTGTGTTATTGGTATTTAAATTAAGTTTAAAGTTGGACTACGCTAAGACATGTTTATACTTGAAAATTGACGTACATTTGTGAATTAGAAACACATTGCCAAACATCAACAAACATCAATTCACATGTTTGCTTGAAAATCATTTAGTTTTCTAACATTTTTCGGAAATTCCGTTTCTCTCTCGCAATTTTTGTTCCACCAATAAATTAATTTTTCTTCTTAATATTTATTTGATGATTAGAATATTTATTGTCTACTATGTTAAAATTTACAAGTCACGACTATGTTTAAGTGTTCAATTATGTTTTAATTAATTTTGCATCCATCAATTACATTTCGATACTTAGTAATTTTTCAACCCTTGCTTGAAACTTTATGAATTTACGTTGAAAATAAAAAGATCAAATGATAAATTGGTTGAGCACAATCGCTGTGAATTACAGCGCGACATTTTTTCAATTATCCTTAAGGCCTTTTTTTCATAGTAAAGTTTAAGCAATTGGTGACTCATCTCAATGAATTTTCAATGTTTCGTTTTTAATTCGGATCACTCCATTCAATTGTGAAAGCGGTGCCACCTCTGTAGTTACTGTCTGGTTCGATTTCAATCAATTTATTTTTATTTCATCATAAGCTACTCTAATTTTTCGACCGTTTAGTATTTGTAGAGAATTTTTTTTTTTTGAACAAATTGAAAAAAATTGATTTTGAATATTTGATAAATGTGAAAATGTTTATTTTACTTTTCTTTTTAACTAGATAAAGAGTGTATGAATAAATTCGGGAAATAGTGTGTGTGTAACAATCACACATAGTGTTAAAAGGATAATAGAAAGTAGCTTGGATACGAAAGTGGAGAGCGCCAAACGGAATCATGTCTGAAGTACCGAAGATACAAGTGTTTCGTCCGACGTGGGAAGAATTCAAACATTTCGATAAATATGTTGAATATATGGAATCAAAGGGTGCACACAAAGCCGGATTGGCTAAGGTAAACATCGACTTTTATACTATTTCATATTATCAAAAATGTTCTTATAATAAGCTCACGTTTTAATGATGTCAACGAAAGCAATTTAAAATGATAAAAAAAATACGCGATTCAATTCGCGATGTGAATTTATGATATGTGTACGCTATTAAATGGATAAAAATGAAACTCATATTTCTTTTGCATTTTTTTTTCTCTGTTCGCATTAGGTGATTCCACCTCCGGAATGGAAGCCACGCAAGAATGGATATGATATTGATAATATGTCGATAACGATTCCGGCGCCCATATGTCAAGTTGTAACCGGCAAACAGGGACTATATCAACAGATAAATATTCAAAAGAAACCCTTAACAATTCAACAATTCAGAGATCTTGCAAATACTGATCGATTTCAAACACCGAAACATTTCGATTATGAAGATTTGGAGCGAAAATATTGGAAAAATATCACATATGTTGCACCAATTTATGGTGCCGATGTTAGTGGAAGTTTAACGGATAGCGATTGCAATGAATGGAACATTAATCGATTAGGTACCATTCTTGATTATGTCAATGAAGATTATGGCATACAAATTGATGGTGTGAATACGGCGTATCTATATTTTGGCATGTGGAAAACAACATTTGCATGGCACACCGAAGATATGGACCTGTATTCAATAAATTATTTACATTTTGGCAAACCAAAAACGTGGTATGCCGTACCACCAGAATACGGACGAAAACTTGAAAAAATGGCCAATAAATACTTTCACTCGAGTTATAAAAGCTGTAACGCCTATCTGCGTCATAAAATGACACTGATCAGTCCACAAATACTCAAACAACATAATATTCCCTTTAATAAGGTAAATATAATGGTCACATTTTAAACATTTTCAACGAAAATCGTTCACTTCGAATCTTTATGCGTATTTATCATAACTATTCATTTCCAATCAGATTACACAAGAAGAGAAGGAAATTATGATAACATTTCCTTTTGGTTACCATGCTGGATTTAATCATGGTTTCAATTGTGCCGAATCGACCAATTTTGCTATGCCACGTTGGGTTGAATATGGAAAACGAGCGGTACAATGTTGTTGCAGGTAAATAATTTTTAACGCCAAATAAATGTAATCACACTTGATTTTTGAAAATATTCGTTCAATTTAATAATAATTTGCATTTGATTGTGTAGCTCTGATATGGTGAAAATATCCATGGACACATTTGTCAAGCGATTTCAACCGGACAAATATGATGATTGGATTATGGGTAACGATGTCGCTCCACATCCTGAAGATCCATCATCGGCAGCTAAACCAGCTCCACTTCCAAGCGATCAAGATATTTTAGTCAACAAAAAGTAAGTGTTTGCATCTATGCCATGAATCACCAAAAGTCATGTACATTTTTTTAATGCTAAATTCATTCAGTAATGATGAATTTCGTTTGTCCAATTTCAGTAATTCAAATGTGCCACAAAATGTATTGCAATCGTTAAAGAAGCAATGCAATCCATTATTGAAGAAATCGTTCAAGGAACGTAACCCAGATGTGGATATGGATGAAATACAAAATAATCCAAATGTTCCCGAAGATGTGAAGGCAGCTATTACTGGTGCATTGACACTCACACTGGACGAAGATGATGTGGATGATGGCGAAGCTGAAACTGCTGAAGATGAACTGCCGCCGGTCGATGGTTTGGAAACATTTGACGACGATTACATAATGGATATGTCAGAGGATGACGGAAAAAAGAGTCGGCGAAAACGTGTCGATGAGAATGATGAAGATTGGCTGACTGGCCGTTGGCGCAAAGTGGGAAAACCAAAACGATCAAAACGAAAGAAAAAACGATCGAAGAGTCAAACCGAAAATGGTACGGAAAATGGAAAACAAATGGGCGACAAAGAAAAAGTTAAAAAGAAACGATCGCGTAAATCAAACGATGCAAATATTTCAAACAATAGCACGTTAAACAGTAATTTGAATGGTACGTTGGATAGCATGACAAATACCACGATGAATAGCAGTACCTTGAACATTACAAATACCAGTTTTAGTGGATGTGAAAATATAAATAGTAGTCAAGATTCGATGACAAATAGTATGATCAATTCAAGCGGTTATGAGTCGATGCAAAAAGAAAAACATAAACAAAAGAAAATGCCGAAAAAACGTGATATTACGGAGAAACTGGTAAATGGCATCGTAAAAAAGACCAGTCGACGCCAATTTACATCGATAAGTGCGATAATGGCATGCATTGAATCGGTGGTACAAGGAACCGATGTATCGATTGGCGATGTTAAAATACCAGAATCTACGTCGGAAGTGTCAGTGAAAATTGAAACAATTGCAAATTATGAACTGTTCAAGGCACCAACAACACCAACACAAACCCCAGTCAAAAATGAAATTTTGACAAATGAAGGCGATAATCCGGGAATGATGATGACGACGACAACATCATTGCAATCGCCATCACCATCGTCTATCGAACCAAAAAAGAAGCCACGAAGGAGGTCTACAGCTGCAACGAAAAATAAAGAAGCGATGCACATGGAGAAATCGGAACAGGCCACACTTGGTTCAAAACCGATCATCAAAAAGGCTCAAACGAACGGAACATTAGCCAAATCGACTAGGACAAGTATGAAAACAGTCAAATTCCTTAGCTAAAACACAACAATCATTTCATTATAAATGTCCATTTCTAATTTATTGTTTTTCTGTTCTTTTTTTTCTTATTTATTTTTCTATTTTGGTTCTATATTTATTTTTTCTTTCGGTGTTTCTTTTACGTATTTTGTTTGGCGGCGCTTTATTAGATTGGACTGAAAATGAAAATGATGGCTCATTACCGTTCAGTGTTGCGATACGTCCATCAAAAGTGTCAACACAACCATCAACTAAATCAACCAATAGTAACACGTTCGAGGATGTATTCAAGCAGTTCACTCAACAACAAACTGATGTTAAGCATTCACAATCTCCAACAAAATTGGAGAAAAATACAACCGTAACTAAGGCAAAGAGTCCGCGCGAACCAAAAAAACCAAGACAACCGAAAGCACCACGCGAACCAAAATTAGGGAAAAAATCAAAGGCGTCCACCCAACCAGATTGTACAACGATTGGTTTACAGATTCAGATTCGTAATCCAATTGTTGAACCAACGCCAACGGCGGTGCCGTTGGACACTAATTTTGAGTCAACATATTCGTATAGCCAAGAGGAAATGAGTAAAACCGCACCGAATATGATCTCAGAATCAATGTCACCAGTAACAGCACCATCAAATATGCATCCACACACAGCTACCTATTATAATATGGACAGCAATACACAGATTGCGCTTGCCGATGATTACATCATATACGATCCCGTTCCCGATTCAGCCCAAGTCCCATCACATGCTCAAACCCTCAATATGACGCCCAACGAAAGCATAAATATTCCTCGACTAATGCATAATCACTCATCAATGAATCAGCATCCAAATCATCATCCAAATCATCATCCAAATCATCAAAATCATCACAATGTTGTACCAACAACAGCGACAACGCCACATCATCCACCACATCATCCATACGATATTCAATTGATAAATTATTCAGATCAAAAGAATTCGCCGGCACTGATTAGTCATTTCAATGTATCTCACACAAATGTTAGCAATACGGTGGCTTGCGATCAAGTCCATAACAGTTGGCGGACAGCCAATGAAATCATGAATTGAATAAATAAATAATAATGCCGATTCGAACATTTGGATCAAATGTTGCTATCGTTTGCGGCAAAACTGCAAATTAACTACCACAATATTGTGACAAACATCGATTCAACTACAAGCGCATTCCAATCTACCAACCAATATCTTCTTTTAGTCACCACTTCACACGCAACTTATATAGAGTTTTTTTTGTTTGTTTTTGCTATCTTGCATCCCCTTTGACAACTATTTAAATGCATGTAATTTTAACGATTTAAATTTTAAATGAAATATTCGGAATACACCGTATCAAAGTGAATAGAAAATGTGAGTTGAAATGATGTAAATGGATCAATATAATCGAGTATTAACATCAACCATTCAAGTAGCTATAGCTATATAGACACTTTTAAACAAGTTGACGATCACCTGTGTTGCGTTGAAAAATTATTTTTTTAGAGAAACGGAATTTCATACAAATGGCCATTGTGTTTATTCACCAGCATAATAATTAAGCTTACTTACACCGAATTCATATTACAACAAACAAAACATCATACACATATAATGAAGAAAATTATCGATTAATTTTTAGTTCAGTTGCAGACATTATTTTTTTGGACATTTTTCGATTCAGATTAAATAACTCATTAATTTATGGCAAAAATTGTATTTATTTTGAAGAAAAAATCAAATCGACGATGAAATGTATTTACTGTTACAAAAGGAAAATTCAACGTAAACAGATTATGTTGAAATTAATAAATTATATATGTTTGTGATTTTTTTCTAATGAAATTAATAAGGAGAATGTAATTATAAAAAATTAGAATTGTAAGAATTGTTCAAACAGATACACGGATTTTACTTTATGTATACAAACAATATTCACACATAACACCCAAAAACACACACGTATATATAGCGTTTGTCTTTTTACAAAATGCCGATGCTATTGTTTCTAGACTAGATTTAAGAATGCAAATCAACAAAGAATAACAAGTTTGTTTACAATTGTTTGAACAACAATAAAAATAAATCTAGTGTCTATCTGTTTACAAGATACAAAAGAATCACAGCTTCGAATAAAAACTGCGTCACCGTTGCGCATCATATTAATTATTACAAAACAAAATTAATAAACAAACAAACTATGAAAATAAATGGGGTTTACTTTACATATTACTTTCCAACGGCTAACCGAATTCATTTTAATTTGAAATACATCGATCGAAAGATCCATATATTCAACATCTATAGCTCCACTTAAATTCGTGAGATTTCCGATAGAGGACACCGCATAACACTTCTCATTCAATGACAATTGACATTGACAGAGTGAATTAAATGTTTTGAAGGTAAATATCGTATACAATTGTTTTTCACAGTTCATTCGTATCAAATCTTGTGTAAGGCCATTGAATCTTCCAGTCAGCGATGACTGAAAGGACTAAAGAATTGACACATTCGCTTCGTGTGCGTGCTTTTGATTCATAGACAGTTTTGCGATCGGAGACAATGCTTAATTTTATGAGTATTGCATAAACAAATTGTTTTTGCAAACGACAGCTGGGTGTGTTAAAGAGATAAATTAGAAAGACACAAAGAGTTTAAGCGATGGCATCAGCATCGAGCAGCAGTGCTAAAAATCTATTTAATGATTCGAAACGTCGTTTAGCCGATCGAGTTGCAGGCACCGTGAATAATGTCGCTTCCGTTGGACGTCAAATTGTTCGAGGTTCACGATCCAATGATGTATGTATCATATACAAATTTGTTAAGTCATAGCCAGTTTTGAAATCTTCATCATCATATTCTTGATTATTCATAATTTTTTTTCTTTTTTTTCTTTTTGTCAATTGACTCATATACACAAACGATTGTTTCTAAATCGTTAGATTCTAATGCAAGCCGCGAAGAATTTTGCACAACAAGAGGCCACCATGGAAAATACCTATCAAAATCTAAAGAAAATGGAATTGCTGCGCCAGCACATGGGCTATCAATGTGATTGCATCATTGAAAATTCGCAGAAAATTGAATTTCTTAAAGAACAAGTCGAAGCAATGGAGCGATGACATTTCAGATCTCATTTATTTTGTATGTGATTGACCGAAAAAAAACCGTAACATTAAAGTAATCATATGATAAAACCGTATAAAATGCGTTTTTCTCACAATAAATTTATTAATAACATCGTTCAAACAGTGAAAGCGTCGAGCAAAAATTGAGTAGCATAGTCGCCAAAAAGGTGGGTATATTGCTTATGCTTATGCGACAGAGAAATGGATAGCCACACATTGTCAAGTTAAATTGGAAATGTATTAAGACGCTTCACATTTGATGTGTAATAAAGATTTTTAATTAAAAATGATGAGAAATTCCCTATTTTTGCTGCGACATAAGAGCGAGTAAGCGAGATAGAGTGAGTTTATGAACGGAACGTAGAGAGATGAAAAATGAGCTTTGAACGGTTAGTTATTGCCATTTTATAGCTTCATGCTGGTGCTTTCATTGAATTTACTTCGTTTTGGTTGTTGCTTTTGTTGTTTCCTTTTTTTCGTTTTTCTTGTTTTTTGTTCTAAATCCATTCAAAGTTTTACTACGTCTCATAATGCGTTTTGATTATCTGATTTCATGGCAGATAGTATCTGCCAGATAGTTGCATGCGTCCAGTAATGGAACGACTTTTGTACACTTCATAAAATTTCGTCACGCTACACTTTTTAATTGACTACGAATTAACTCAATCGATAGCGCAAGTGTGAACATGAATATGGTTTGAAAAATCACTCTTTCAACAGCGACAATTGGATGAGATTGGGCTCATGTGTGCGATGCGTGTTGCATGAGGGTGAATACGAATTTAAGTTTTAATCGGAAATGAGAATTTTTCTGCAGCAACAGCAACAAAAACCAGCAAGTTCATCTCTTTGAATGTTTTTTTCATGCCTTAGTCGATAGCATTGCTTATAGTCGGATTCAATGGGACATAGTTCTCATTTTTTTGGATGATCGCCATTAAAATGGTTGGAGTTTCCAGCAGCTAAGCGAAACAATAAACACCGAAACAGACAAAATAGACAGCCGAGGATTTCGGAATGAAGCAAATGCGAATGCGAGTGCAAAATTGTGAATTAAGCCTGGTTAAGCTAAAATAAGAGGAATAAATTGAAAAACCAGAAAACAAATAGACGGAGACATGCAAGTACATCTTGCAGAACGTTAAGTGAAAGTATTGAAAGCACATGGTTCTTTAAAAGGCAAAAAACGAATAAATGTGATTTGTTGCCTATCGAATGGGATAACGGCGAATGAGCGCCACAAACGGCATGGAGAACGATGAAAAAACGTCCGTTTGCGCGCTCTGCAAATGATGTGCATTCGACGACAAAACTACAAAATACCATCGAATAGAAATAGACTGGAACAAAAGAAAAACAAATATTCGCGAGGCAGAAAAGCTCAATTACTTGCTAACGTTAAAATCCCCAAATAACCCAATACACAGACAGATTGTCTGACTGTTTGCAATGTGTACGAATCGCATTATATGTATACACATATATCGAACTTCAATTTTGGTGTTGTTGGGCTTTGTTTCTTGCTATGAACATTTTATTTTTTTCTTCTATTTTTTTATTTTTATGTCCATGTTGTATTTTGCTCGATTCGTATATTTTTTCTCTTCTTTTTCAAACATTCTGTCATTCTATGCGCTTCGCTCGCTTTACACACCAAAATCAAATACACGAAAGAAAAAAAGACCGTAATGTTTCGCGAGATCGCAAGCGTGTGTTTGTGAAATGCATTTTTGGTGCATTGAGCGTCGTCATAGAACACCACATTGAACAAAAATGAGCAACAACAGGGATCGCATCGAGCGACCAACGAACCATCACGGAACAATGAAAGAGAAGGATAGAGAGATATAGATAGAAATAGAGATAGAGAGAGATAGAGCGAGGGGGAGAGAGAGAGAGAAATCGGAGCCACCAAAGCAATGAAGATAGGGTTTAAAAAGCGCTGTCGTGCAATTGTCGTTTTCGTCTATATATTTGTGTCTATGATACAGCCGCGCCGTACGCCGTCTATCTCGTATACGATATTATTTGTACGCCATGAATGCTACTGTTAAGCTGCTTGTCGTTTATTTTTAGTGCACATTGAAAAATTATTGCAATCATTTGCCATCCGTCGAGATTATTTTATTTATTTCATGCTTTGTTTGATTTTTTTCCAAGTTTTTTATATATGCATATATACATGTGTGTCGTCGTTGTTGTCATCGTCATATTCATTCTCGTTGGCGTTACTACTCCTCAGTTCAAAGGCTGTCTTTGTATTTATGGGCGATGCGAGTGTTTTTGAATATACTTTTTTGTTATACACAAAACTCCCGTTTCATCGACTGTATGTTCGATACGAGTTGTTTTTTTCTCTCTCTTCATACGCACATGGCCGTTTCCTTCTGGAACGCTTTTTTATGCATTGTTATTCCTCATAGTTCATATAGTATATGTAGCTGTCAGTAATCTGTTCGGTTGTTGTGTGTATTGTTTTTTTTTAATGCTGAAACTGCAGCTAGATGCAAATTATACGCCATAAAATTTAAAAAACGCACCAGGCCAATGTGTCACTGAAAAAAGCCCAAACTTTAAAAATTGAAAATGCACAAAATGCAAATTTATTTTCCACAAAATACTTATCGCCGGGACCGATTACTGATGATACTCCTTTTATCGACATTGTCACTTTGAATCAGTGCAGTTCGTTAGATGGATTTCGCCTATTTTTGGTTTTGTTTTGTGGAGAGTATACGTTTTGTAAATTGTCGATATTGTCTAGTGACTGATCATCATAATTATGCAGTGCGCCAAGACAAATCCATTGGCATAGCAAAAATGTTTCTTCTCTTTACATGCGAATTGAAACATTATTAATGAATATATTAAATGTAAAGTATAATCTTTTCAGCCGTCATCACATCGGTTTTGTGGAAAAAACATTATGGTTAGGCTCATTCAATGTATATATTTTTAGAGATATTACATCAATATCGTCTGATGTGCATAAAAACGGTACAATAGATGTGTGTGCGTGTTCAATCACAAATCAAGTGGAATCCGAGGTGTCAACGCAAACCAATGAATTGCGTCCAATGAACGTTCATATAACTGTCAGTTGTTTTTTGATTATTTATTGAAAATAAATTACAATTAAAATGGCCAATTCAATGCTATCGCCACAAATTCAACGGTAGATTTTTTTCGTTTCGCTTCGTCTATATATCCTTTTAATTTCGCGATTTATGTGATTTTTTTCTGGTGCTGAATAGTGGCGTGTCATTAAATCAAGCTTTTCTAAATCATCGCTTAAAATGAGCATTAAACTATCAGCGCGAAAACTGGTTTTTGTTCTCTGTGACCAATGTTTTATTTTGAATATTTAAAACCGCCATCATATGCAAAAAAAGTGTTCAACATCCAGAAATTTCTCATTGAATTCGTTTTTGCCGTACTTTGCTCAACCACAGCAAGAGAGTGCAAAAAATGAACAAATTATTATGTTTTATGCTACATTTTTCTCTTAAAAAAATATCTATATATTGTATAGACTTTGGTCAAAAGCGGAAAAACCAGTCTTTCACATAGTTTCTATTGTATTCGGATAAAGTAAGTAAATTTTCATACGAATGTTGTCGTATAATATGTTTCGTGCATATGCCAAAGATGCAATAATACAAGCACTACGTATGTACTTGATAACAAAATAAATGTTTTAAACGAAAATCATTGGAAGTGGAAGATGGCTTGAAAATGGTGTTGAAAAGTTTTCGATTAATTTTAAATATATGCATGACCAAAATCCTTTTGAATCATTGAAAAACAAAATATTTGCAACTTAAGTTTGTCAAAAACGCTCTTTCGCTAAAATACGCAGAGAAATTGAATTAACTCTTAATTTTATTTGGTGATTTTCGATTTATCTTTAAACTAGCAGCTCCGAAACTAATCTATGATCAAACCGAAGTTGCACGTTTTCAGCTGGCGAAAATATGCAGGGGTTTCTATTAGCCTTTTTCTCTCGTTTTTCTCAAACACTTGATTGCGATTTTAAACTTTGACATGGTATTTCGATTCTCGGACTTTATTGAAACAGACAGAATCAAATTGAATGTTTCTTCTTTGAAAAAAGATACCAAGTTTTAAAAAAGTGTACGATTGTGCTATTCGCCACCAGCAGTGTGAAGCATTTGGACACTATCAAACGGAAATCACAAAAGTCTTGTTTTATAGAGTGAAAACTATTTACAAAAACACGAACTTAACACCAGCTAAAAACTATTCTCTCCCTTATGGAATATTCAATGGAAACCATCAAAATACCACACAAAAAAATATGTACATCATATACACCTACACCAAAAACGCCATATGTGTGGCGATGAATCCAGAAAATACCGCATGACATAATTTACTTGTATTCATATAAATAGTTTGTATGCATAAAAATGCACTGAAAATTTAATAATCCGTTTTCAATCAAAAACAAAAAGAGCGAAAAATCAGAATAATGCATAACTGCAAATTTACTAAAACGCTACACTTTTCATTGAAATATCGATGAATTTAATATCAAATAAGAAACGTCTGACGAGGTGAATAGCGATTGACGAAACCAAAATGTGAAATTAAGTAAGTGTATATTAAGTTTTTTATTCACAGTACAAGGAAAAATTATCTATCATTTATTTTTGTCATAAAATTGATATCAGACATTTTGTGTTTCACCTCGTCAGAGGTTTTTAATTTGATATAAGTAATTTTGTGAGAGTAATTTTCCAAATTAAAGATTCAAAACATCTCCACACATGAATTTTAATAATTTTGAAATACAATTAAAATATGGACTTTTAGGTTATTTTTTTTTTGGCTCCAAATGTCATGAATTATGGCTCATAATGGGGACGGCCAATTTTCAGAGGTGTGTGTGGTATACACTTTTTTATCTTTGAGTTGAGGCATAAGTCGATGAAACTCTCAAAAGAAACTATGGAGTCTTTTTCGAGAAAATATCCGTTATGTGCCCCGGCCAGACGGTCAAATTTTGGCCACCTGAAATTGAAATTTTTAAGTCGCAATTGGCACCAGTCG